GGTCCAAGAAGCAAAACCTAAAATCAAGATGCAGAATGCTCACACTGATTTCCAATAACCTGTGTCCCTGAAGAACTAAAGAACACTCATGGGAATGCAAAAATATTTAGCAACCAAGCTAAAATTCACAATCAATTAAAAATGCCCAGTCATGCAGACAAAGCAGAAAGACATAGCCCATAATGAGGGGGAAATCAATCATTTAAACTGACCTGGAGCATGGATTAAGAGACAAGGACACAAATAGGGTTCTACAGTGTTCCATGTGTGCACGAAGCCAGAGTGAGGATGGAACAGAGACAGGGAAAAGAGGGAAAACTTAAGCCGACCAGGAGAGACGAAAACCACATTGGCTCAGGCGAAAAAATGCACCGGATGAAATGAGAAGCAGACAGAGAAAATGGAAAACAGAAAAGGTTATATAATGGAACCCTGAAAAAAAAAAGTGAGGCTATCGTGTTGGCTCAGCAGTTAAGAGCACTTGTTGCCCTTGCCAAGGACTGGGGTTCAATTCCCAGAACCCACATGGTAGCTCACAACCAGCTGTGACTCCAGTCCCAGGGGGTTCAAAACTCTCTTCTGACCTTCAAGTGCACATACCAGGCACCCACATACATACACATAGGCAAAACACTCAGACATAAAATAATAAAATAAATCTTAAAAAAGGGAAAAACAACAACAGGAAAAAGGAAAGGAAGGAAGGAAGGAAGGAAGGAAGGAAGGAAGGAAGGAAGGAAGGAAGGAAGAGAAAGTGAAAAATATACAAGGCCAGATAGGCGGTTGGTTCAGTGGTTCCAAGCACTTGCTCTTTCACAGGACCCAGGTTCAGTTCCCAGCACCCACATGGTTGCTGGCAACCACCTGTCCGATGCACAAATATAATTAATCTTATCAATAAAAACCAGGAGTCAGATATCAGGGTAAAAACCTGAAAGATCAGAGAAGCAGGGGAGCCGCCACCAGTGACCTCTTCTGTTCCTCTGACCAAAAGAGCCAAGATCTGGTCTCAGCCCTGTCTTACCACTTCTTGTCCCTCTTTCTACAGTCCTCCAAACCTCTATGGTTAGCTAGTGGCCAGCTCCGCCCTCTGACTCCAAGCACACTTTGTCAGAACACAAACAAAATACCATACAACACCTATCACTTCAGTTCTAGGGGAACTGACACACTCTTCTGACCTCTGCAGACATTGTTTACATGTATACATATGTAAATGCAGGACAAACACTCACACACATAAAATAAAATAAAATAAAATAAGATACTCTACAAGCTATCAGATAAATTCAAGTGCCGCCTGTATCTCTATACCCAGAATTGTCCAAAGCAGAAGCGGGATAATAAAAAATACTTTAAAGAAATAACCAATTTCAAACTTTAATAAAAGCCACAAATTTAAAACAAATAACCTCCCAGGAACTTCAGCGGACAGCAAGTACAGAGAACACAGGAGCAATCTCACTCCTGCAATAGGGTGGAGGTGTTCAGTGAAGCCCGACCACAAGAACACAGTGCACACAAAGGAAAAAGTAAGGATGACAACAGATTTCTCATCAGAAATATTGTGAACTATAAGAAACTGGAGCAACAGCTTTAATACATTGGAAGAAAAAAGAACCATCTAGAAGTAATATCTTGTATTGAATCTGTGGTTTCAATGTGTACCCCAAGGTTTCTGGTGTTGAAATTTAATCCTTACTATAAAGTATTAAGAAGGTAGAAATGAAGGGTCTGGGGAGATGGTTCAGTGGTAAAGTGCTTGCTATTCAAGCCGAGTTCGATCCCCAGCACGCATACAAATGCTGCCATCCCAGCTCAAATGGAAAGCTCCAAATTAATGATAACCTCTGTCTCAAAAACCGAGGTGGAGAGAGGCTGAGGCAGAGGTGTTTGGTATGACTCCATAGGATGAGGGATGGAAATGCAGACACCCTCCTCTCCTGTGGTGTGTAGACAAGGAGTCCAGAAACTCAGACACCAGAGAACAGCAGAATAGTGACTGGAGCTACAGGACCCTTAACCAGGAATGCAGAGTGGCTGAGAGGACCACCCAGTCAGCCAGAACAAAGGCAAGTGACCATGCCAAGGAGACCATAAAGATAGACTGGAGGCAAGGGACAGCTAGGGTGTGAAAAGAACCAGTGTCACAGAGGAGACTTGGTCAGGGACTAGGACTGTAGATCTCACATGGATCTCAGTGACGCTCCTATTTCAAGTGGCTGGCACTGTCCTGATGAAGTATGTTGAGAACTGACCATGGGGATAAGATCCCAGAATGAAGGAGGTAGACTCTGGGGGACAAGAGAGCTGACTAAGACCATATAGTGCGGAAGATCTGGCAAACTCCTAGGATGGCGGTTCCCAGTATAATAAATTGGTTATTTCTTTAACCAATTTGTGATGGGAAGGAGAAAGTTGAGAAGCTTCTGGAAGCTAGGTCGTGTGTGGCAGAGTCGGTTCTTTAGACATCTTCCCTTGTCAGAACTCTGAGCTGTCTGGGGATGGGGCCATTCTCTTCCCCCTCTTTCTAGTGTCTCCATCGCTCAGTTAGACTAGGAGACACCTCCCCTGGCTTGCCCTTCAAGGACTTGCAAGTGGCACAGCAGAGGTCTCAACACAGGAACTCTGAGTTCAAAGCTGCTTCTGTTATGCTATCTTGTGTTTGTTCCCAGAGGCTCCAGTGCCTGCTTGGCTGTTCCTTCTCATTGGAAGGAACAAAACTGCCCCTCATGGCATAGTCTGCAGACAATGAACTGGGCTTTGTCTCCAGGAGTGTTCCAATGCAGTTCAGGTACCCAGAAAGTCTTTTGAGCTCTCTCCTCTTCTTCCCTTTTTCCATTCTGAAAGGCCCAGGGGGCTGGGAACATGCCAGGGTACACTGGTAGCCAGCACAGCCTATTTCTGATTCCCAACTGTGGTGGTGGGTAGCCTTTACACTGGGGGTTGGCAGGCACTCTTGGCTCTCTGTAGAATGACGCTTTGTTTTCACAAAAGATCCAGGGCCCGGAATTGGGCTGGCACCAGTGAACTTGATACTCTTGCCCAAGTCACATGCCCTGTTTTTCTGAAGCTCCGGCCTCTCAGTGGACTACAAAGCTCTGAGGTGACAGAATTTGGGGGAGTTTGGAGCCAGCTCCAAATTTCAAATACCAGGGGTTGGTTCTGTGTGTCACACCAGGTAGAGCCCAGAGGAGAAAGTCTAAGGACCTGTAGAGACAGTTTCTATGCCTCAGGTGTGTGTTCTTTAGGTCTGACCACAGGGCCATGATGGAGTCAAGCCTAGAGACCACTCTGAGGGACACAAGTTGGTGGCAGGTGATTGTGAGTCACTGTTGTGAGTGTGGAGACTTTAGTTTCGGTCTTGACATGAGTAGTTCATGCTCTTAACCACTGAGTCACTTCTCCAAATGGAGAAAAAAAATTTTCTTAAGTAGTGCTGGCTGGAAAGATGGCTCATGGGTTAAGAATAATACCACTAACCAGGCCTGGTGGTACATGCTGCTTTCCCAGCACTGGGGAGGCAAAGACAAACAGATCTCTGTAAGTTTGAGGCCAGCCAGAGCTATATACGTGAGATTTTATCTTAAAAAAAAAAGAAAGAAAGAAAAGAAGAGAAAAAAAGAGTGCATACTGCTCTTGCAGTTCCCAGCATGCACATCAGGCAAGTTCACAGTTGCCTATAACTCATTCCAGCTGCAGAGAATCAAGTGCCCTCTTCTGGACTCTCAGGCACCTGCATTCATGTGGACATTCTTCTACACAGGCCTCATTTAAAAAATAAAATAAACCAATTTGCAGTAAGGCTCGTTAAGGAAGGGAATGGCTCAGTTACCTTTAGCCTATGGCTATGGGTGGGTTAGGACTTCTGTTGGTCTTTTCTGTGTCGAACACACAGATTGCAAGTCCAGCGCCACTTTGAGATCTTTGGCAACAGTTAACTCTGAAGCTCACACACGATTGAGCCTGTATGATAATGAGTATTCAAAGACGGGTAATACCTGGGGGGTGCTCACCAACCTAAGACAGAGCACCTGTGTGGCCTGGACAGGCATCTCCACGAGACGGGTAAGGTGACCTGCTGACGTCCCACACAACCTAAGTCAGAAGCTCATTTATTAGTAAAAGGGGGACCTGTAGGGCGCTGGCCCCTGTTTTGGGTAACTGTTGCCTTGCTTGCTGATCTTGACCTTGATATCCTTCCTATGCTAATTCCCTGCCAGGTTCCACCCTCCTGAGTGCTTAAGGGAAGTTCCTTGTCTGTGTATCCTGCATATTGGGCGTTAACAGCTTAGATGCAAGATTGTAAAACATCAGTAGTGAACTTCTGCCCTCCGGGGTTCTCCCACTGTGCTGTAAGCCTGTATTTAAGACCTCCTCCCAGCCGGGTGGCGGCGGCAGCGGCGGCACATGCCTTTAATCCCAGCACTCGGGAGGCAGAGGCAGGTGGATCTCTGTGAGTTCGAGGCCAGCCTGGGCTACAGAGTGAGTTCCAGGAAAGGCGCAAAGCTACACAGCGAAACCCTGTTTCGAAAAAACCAAAAATAAATAAATAAAATAAAATGGCTTAGTGGGTTAAGTGCTCGCTTCTCAAGCTGGAGCATCTAGGTTTAATCCTCAGAAGCCACCTTTTTAAAAAGGCGAATTTGGTGCTGTGTACTTATTTGCAAGACTAGCACTGAGGAGGTAGAGACAGACAGATCCCTAGGACTCAATGGCCAGCCAGCCTAGCCCATCTGGTGAGTTCCAAGCCAGTGAAAGACCCTGCCTCAGAAACAAAAAACAAGCACACACACACACACACACACACACACACACACACACACACACACACACAAACAACAACAACAACAGAAGCTGAAGCCAGGACTCAGGGTACTAAAACATTGAATCATCAGTCGGTGGTGAGGCGCAGTGGAAGGAGGGGTGCCTAGCAACCTATAGCAACAGGCACAAGTGGTACCATTGGTTCTTGTGAAGAAATGATTTTACAAGAAGTATCACGGAGTCAGAGAATGCAGCCAATTCTTTTAGATTCCTCTAGATTACAGAGGAGAGGGGGGAGGAGGGGAAGGGTGGTATGAGGCAGGGAGAGAGCAGTGGTCAGGATGGCACTCCAGTAAAAGTTCTGGGGTTCATGGTCCAGAAGCCAAGTATCAGAGGAGCAGTCGGCATCTCGTCAGTGCAGCCTCAGATGTTCATGGTCAAGGTGATAAACTGGAAAGAGAGAGAGATGAGGGCTTGCCCTTCCAAGTCCGGTCTAGCACAGGAGCGGCCTCAGTTAGTTTATGTCACAAGTACTCTGATGCTCGTTTTACCTACAAATTTGGATGTCTGACTCAACATGAAACCATTTTTAAAAAATTTAAATTAAGCCAGGTGGTGGTGGCTCACGCCTTTAATACCAGCACTCCAGAGGCAGAGGCAGGTGGATCTCTGTGAATTCGAGGCTAGACTGGTCTACAGAGGGAGTTCCAGGACAGCTAGGGCTGTTATACAGAGAAACTCTGTCTAGGGGAAAAAATTTTAAATTAAAACAAATTTGGTGGGTGTGTTTTAATTTATATAACACACACATATATATGTATATATATATATATATATACATATATATATATATATATATATATATATATATATAATGCATGCATGTGTGCAGACCAGAAGTTGATATCAGGCATTTTCCTTCCTACCTTATGTTTTGAGACAAGGTCTCTCACTGAACTTGGAGCTCACTAATTGGCCACACTGACCAATGAGCTCCAGAGATCCACTAGCCTCAGCCAACAGTACTTTGATTGCAGATGCATGCCACCAAACTCGGCTTTTTTTTTTTTTTTTTTTTTTTTTTTTTTTTCGAGACAGGGTTTCTCTGTGTAGCTTTGCGCCTTTCCTGGAACTCGCTTTGGAGACCAGGCTGGCCTCGAACTCACAGAGATCCGCCTGGCTCTGCCTCCCGAGTGCTGGGATTAAAGGCGTGCGCCACCACCGCCCGGCTCAAACTCGGCTTTTTACATGGGTTCTGGGAGGTGGGCCCCAAAGTCGGGCCCTCAGTCTGGTGCAGCAGGCATTCACACACTGAGCCATCTCCCCGGCCAGGTGAAGCTTTTCATAAAGGCTAAATGAACTTGCAGGACAGAGAGATGAAAATACGTTTTCACCCTGCTGAAAGGGACAGTCTCACAGAGACGTCCTGGGCAGGGCAATATGAGTTGTGCTCGCTTTTTGGTACCCCCCCTCACCCTTTTTCAGAGAAAGGCGACCCTCTGCCATAGTGGAGCTGAGGGAAAGAGAGGCAAGCTGGCTGCTCAGGCTCTTTGTGAGAAAGTGAACTGCTATGGAAGCAGCCGGAAACGTCTCATCTCTCCCCTTCTTCCCACCAGGCTTGCTCACGTTTACATGGAATGTTCTGTTTCCTCACGTTCTTTCTTGGGCATCTCATGAGCAGGCACTAATGCATGAAGACACCCACAGCTCAAAGGATTCCAGCATGCATCATACTAACTGCCAAGTGAACAGAAACACCAGCCTCTACACTGTGTAATTGCCCACTGTGAGTGCTAGCCCTACCTGGAGCATCCAATAAGGATTAGAGTGTTTTTACTCTGCTGGCTGGGGTCTGCTTGGCCATACCTCATTTACATTGAGATGGATGATGTCCTTGTTCTTCACACTGAGAGACTGGAACACCCCTGGTGGGAGGGAGGAAGCATCACATTGGAGACAAGCCCTTGGGCAGGTTTAAGGGTTCCTGGACCCCTGGGAAGTCTGTGGGTAGCTGCTCCCTCTAGTGGAGATCAGAATCCCTGCCTGACAAGGTGGAGACCACTGAAGGGGCTTCAATGCCTGGCCTGAGAAGCAACTGTCTTCTCTGGACCCCAGGCTCCCATTCTAGAAGAGAAACAGCCAAACCTTGATTAACAAGGAGGAGGAGGGCTGTCCCTGAGCAGAAAAGAGAGAAGGGAGACTCCATAAATGCAGCATGGATTTGTTTAGATGTCGAGTCTACCAAGCAATGTTCTGTCACTACACTGGACACTTCACTATGGACTGGGCAATCCATGACAGTGAAGATTAGCTAAGAATTTTTCTAGGGATGTAAAATGCATGGAAATTATAACACCACAAGAATTGTGACATGTTTGCTTGCAACAGAAGGGACAGAGGATGACTGAGCTGCCCTGGACACATTTGGCTGCCCTCCAGGGATATTTGTAGGGGAACAGTGTGACAATCAACCACCTCTTAGGAGTACCTATACATGCCTTCCCACTTTCTGGTATAGCAGACCCTGCTTAAAATGACTGAGTCTGTGTCTAGGGCTTTCAGAGGGACAGTGGATGAGGGACAATGTTCTATGAGGGGACTTGCTCCTAAATGGGACCTTTCCTCAGTAAGAGGCATGAACCTGCCCACTCACAGCCCTTCACTGCCTGTAGGTGTGTGATGAATGACAGCCACAGGATGTAGTTTGCTACATTCATTCATATTCCATCTCTCAGCTGACAGGGCACAGTTATCTGCACAGCCCCCATGGTGGCTCTCTGTGTCCTAGATCTACCATATTTTCCCCAGGTTGTTTCTTATATACTCATAGATGGGGACTGGAGACCCTGAGCTGGGCACTTCATGCCTCCGGGGGGTCCAAGGACACTCTCAGATCTCCTGTACACTTTTGGCTCCCCTGTACACTCACGGCTCCCCTGCACACTCACGGCTTGCATTCTCCAGCCGCACCAGGCAGTTGAGGTAGTCATCAAAGTCCAGCTGGAGGCTCTCATCTGCATACCTGAGGATGATCAGCTGCAGGAGATGGCCACTCAGCTGAAAGCCTGCAGAGGGACAGGAGACTCAGGACCTTCCATGGCTGAGCTCCATGGTGAACCCACAGCTTTGGGGTCCCCAGAGCCACAAAGGTGAATTATTCAACTTACAAGGCCTGTGTGCATGTATTCATATGGATGTCCATGTGTGAGAGCATGGGTGGAGGCCAGAGGTCAATGGGAGCTGTAATTCCTGCCCCCCCCCCCCCGCCAGCCTTATTTTTTGAAACCTCTTATTGTTCTGGAACTTGCCAAGTAGGCTAGGCTAGCTGGCTACCAAACTTCAGGAATCCTCCTGTCTCTGCCTCCCCGGTGCTAGGTTTATAAGTGCATGTCATCACACCTGACTTATCTTCCATGGGTTCTGGGGATTGAACCCAGGTCCTTGCGCTAGTGTGGTCAGTACCTTGATGACTGAGCCATCTCCCCAGTCCACTGGTACTTCTCAAGACCCTTAAGATCCAGGGTGCTGTAGTTATTTCCTAAGGGTGCTGCTACCCTCAATGAGGGGTGCTGTGCAGGGGCTTATTCCTCACATCATGCTAGAGAGAGGTGCCATGCACACTGGAGGTCACGGTGGTCCTGGAGAGGCCCTGGCTACCATAGGACATGGTTCCACTTCTCTGGCCTTCCTTTTCCTCATTCGTCAGTTTGGATGAGTTGGGATTCCATCTGGGTCTGACTTTTATTGCTCTGCTTCCTAATCCATGCTTTTGGGAGTGGTATTCATTCCCCCCCCACTGTAACTCTGGCTGTGTGCCCTTCCACATGTTCACAGGAGCATTTGGAAGTCCACCAGGGGTCTTCTCACTTATGCTTCTAGTTCCACCAGAGGTGGAGGCTGGTCAGGCTCACAGCACTGTCTCCGGAGCATGTATACCATGCTTAGCCTCATCCATTCCTAAACCCTGGCATCTGCATGCATAGGACCAAAGGAGCAGGATGAGCAGCTCTCCCCATGCAAAGGCTTGGTTAAACCCCGCGGTTCCCTGCTCAGTCTATTCTGCCCAGGAGGTGGAGTCGCAAGCGCCTAAGAGAATCAGGCACCATCTCAGGTTTATGACACACTTTGTTCTTCACAAAGAACCCAGGGTGTCATGCTATGTTGTGCCGACGGCCAGCTGCAAATGCCAGTCACACTCGCCACAGACAGCCCTCTTCAGGCTTTTGTTGTTGATGATTCTTTCCCCCATATTTTCTCCCCTCCCCCTTCTCTCCTTGCACCCCCCCCCCCCGTATTCCACCCAGTCTCCTTTACCGTTCCTGTCACGTGTCCTACTGACCACCCATCCATCCTCATCTCCTCTCTTTCCTCTCTCATGTTCTTACCAGTTTCATGGTTTCTACTCGCCCCCACTTAAAACAAACATGACAATATCCGCTGGAGCACACATCTGATTGGTGTTTCTTTACCTGCGGCTTTCAGTGCGGTCCGCAGCTCATAGGAAGACATGGTACCAGACTTGTCCACATCGAACTGGAGAAACAGGTTCTGGGGCCAGGGAGTAGAGAGCATTGAGAAGTCAGAGCCCAGGGGCCAGTGACAGGTAGTAGCTGCCCAGGGATGACGGCTGCCTTCTAGATAGGCAAGGTTGGACCAGGACCTGTCCGTCCATCTGTCTTTCCTTCCTTCGCTCCATCCTTTCTCTCTCTCTCTCTCTCTCTCTCTCTCTCTCTCTCTCTCTCTCTCTCTCTCTCTTCTTTCTTTCTCTCTCTCTCTTCTTTCTTTCTCTCTCTCTTCTTTCTTTCTTTCTTTCTTTCTTTCTTTCTTTCTTTCTTTCTTTCTTTCTTTCTTTCCTTCTTTCCTTCTCTTTTTCTTTGACAGAGTCTCATGTATCCCAGGCTAGCCTCCAAATCTCTATGTAGCAGAAAATGACCTTAAACTTCTGATCATTGTACTTCCACTGCCTAAGTCTTGGGATTATAGATGTGCATCAACATGCCTAGTTTCATGTTGGGGACCAAATCCAGTGTTTCATGCACGCTAAGAAAACACACTGTCAACTTTGCTAGACCCCTAGCCCGGAGGCTATCTTTTCTTTCTTCCTTTCTTCTTCCACCTCCTTCTTGCTTTGTTTTTTAGAGACAGGGTTTCTCTGAGTAGCTCTGGCTGTCTTGGAATCATTTTGTAGACCAGGCTGGCCTCACACTCGGAGATCTGCCTGCCTCTGCCTCCTGAGTGCTGGGATTAAGGCGTGTACCACCCCCGCCCAGCTGGGCCCTCTCTTCCTCAGTGCAGTGCTGGGGAGTTAGGGTCTCACATGGCCGGCTCTACTCCGAGCCACAGGTCCTCTTGCCTCCTTTCGTTTTGAATGGAAACACCGTGGCACCTCTGACAGCGTCAGAGTTCTTGCTGTGGTTCCTTGACTCCCCTCCCAACACTGCCCTTAGCCTGTCGCTGAGGTCTTTGCCCTACTCTGCTGGAGGTCTGGACCAGATCACATACCATCCAGTGCTTTAGCTTGTCCCAGAATACCCGGAACTCTTCAAACTCCAGTGTTCCATTGCCACTGGTCTGGCCACATGGGCTAAGGGTCTTTCAACTCAGGATCCCTGTGGGAACCCAGCTCTGGGTTCACAGGAGGAGGCCAGAATTGTGTGGCATGAGTAATGGAGTTGGGGCCCTGGAGGAGTAACCTTAGTGATGGAAACAGGAACCTCTGAAGAGGGGAAATGGCAGGTGAGATGGGGTGAGCCCCTGAATATTTACAATACAGGAAAGTAGACCTATTTATCCCCTTGGGGGAGACCCCCCAGATCCCTTCAGAAGCCTTTTCCCTACTGCATTGTCCTGACCCTCTTGACTCTGACCCAACCCTAGGTAGGTTGGCAAGGCCTCCTGTTTTTAGAACTGTGGCGCCTGTTCCAGGAGAGTGAGCACCATAGGACACTGCCACTCAGAGGGACCAGTGCACTTGCTGGAAAGGATACGTCCATCAGAGAGATGATGTTTCTGCAGGACAGCAGGCTCAGCTTCTTGAACTTGAGGGCTGTTTCTGCAATCACATGGGAAGCTTCGTGATCAATGATCCTTACAAGACAAACATGTCCTGCCTTCTTCTGAGAGCCCCTTGGTGTAGGCAGATCAGGCTCTTTGGGACCATGATGTGGACACTGTCTTAGGACGTTGAGAGTAGGGCCTGGACTTCTGGAAGAAAAGTCTGCAATCTGTGTGGGGGTTGGGGAGGGCGTGCACGGGGGAGGGGGGGCTGTTGTCCCGCATTTACTTTAGCACTAGGGATCCTAAGATTTTTACCATCTGCCTGTCTATTAAAGATTTGTTTGTTTTTTTTTTAATTTGTGTATATGTGGGTTTGTCTGCATATGTGTATGCACAGGTGCCTGTGGAGGCCAGAAGAGGGCATCAGATGCCCTGGAACTGGAGTTACAAAAGATTATGAGCAGCCTAAGTCTAGTGCTGGGAACCCAACTCTGGTCATCAGCAAGAGCAGCTCTTAACCATGAACCATCTCTCCAGCCCAATCACCATCCTGTTTACAATTGCAAACATTCTTTAGAAATTATATAAATGGCCAGCAAGGAATATTAACATGACTTAACTGCAACCACACCATATTCCACTGTTTCCCAAGTGCACTTTAATGACCAGCTCAGAAAAGTTCAATGGGTGGGATTTTCAATTGCTAAAGAGCTGAATGTGGTGGTGTATGCGTGTAATCCCCACACTAGGGAGACAGAGGCAGGAGAATCACAGAGAATTCCAGGTCAGTCATGGCCCATGTGGGACCTATTTTTTTTTGTTTGTTTGTTTGGTTTTTCAAGACAGGGTTTCTCTGTGTAGTTTTGGTTTTGGTGCCTGTCCTGGATCTTGCTCTGTAGCCCAGGCTGGCCTCAAACTCACAGAGATCCACCTAGCTCTGCCTCCCAGGTGCTGGGATTAAAGGCATGTGCCACCACCGCCCAGCTGAGACCTGGTTTTAAACAAACAAAACAAACAAACAAACCATAAACCCCCAAATTGCTGAAGAAATTTGATATTTATACACAGCTGGTAAAACCTCAAAAACACTGTGGTAGCTGGGTGTACCACGTGCCTTTAATTCTAGCATGCAAGAGTCTGTGGCTGGAGGAACGTAAACTTGAGGCCAGCCCTAGGCATTTAGCCAGACCCTCTCTCAAAAAATAAAAACAGGGCTAGGGAGATGATTCAGGCCGTGAAGCATGCAGATCTAAGTTCAAGTCTCCAGAACCCCCATAAAAAAGCCAGAAACACTGGCATGAGCTTGTAACCCCAGAACTGGGGAGGTAGGAACTTAGAGGCTCACAGGCTGGCCAGACTGGTTTACTTGGTGAGTCCCGGGTCAATGAGAGACTCTGTCCAAACGAACAAAAGTAGCAGGAGCCAGATCTGAGGTTGTCCTCTGGCTCTCCATGCAGGTGCACACCCGTGTGAACACCACACACACACACACACACACACACACACACACACACACACACACAACCAGTATGTAAGAGTCCAGTAACAAGCATATATTGTATGATTCTTTTATATAAAATGTCCAGAATGGCAAGTCTGAGACAGAAAGTAGATGGGAGGTTGTCAGAAGCTGGGGGAGGATGGGATAGGGGGTGACTGCTGCGGCAAAAAAAAAAAAAAATGTCCTGGAATGGACTTTACATAAATGTGCAAACGTAGACACATACACACATGTGAAAACCCATACATGTACACACAAATGCACACACAGCACAGATAACACATGTATGCATATATACACACACACGCATGTACACATGCACAGCACAGACATATGTAACACACATGCACAGCACAGACAACGCACACATACACATTCCTGTCTGCAGAGCACAGACCACACACATGGTGACAGTAGTTACTTGGGGTCATGAGGTGCGATGATTTTTATCTTTGCTGCTAGACTTTTCGGTAGAAAAGTCTATAGAACACTCCACCAGAAGCCTGCATCGTTTTCGCAGTTAGGAAATAGTGAGAACAGTTTCTACGGTCTGCACACAGGTCAGCCATGGGGAGCAGGTCCTAGGCTCTAAGGAGCAGAGCTTGGGAGAGGTCTGACAGCGTGGCCACTCTTCCTGTCCAGGGAGCCCCTGTCCCCTGTGGGAATTGACACTTACTCTTTTGCAGAACATCATTTAAAATGTACTCAAGCTCCTCAGCTGACACCGCCATGTCCTGTGGAGTAGAGACAATTGTTCTTTATTGTCCTTAGCAATTCTCAGCTTGACTTGGCTCCTTGGAGAGAACGGCCCTGAGGCCACTGTGCTTGGAGCTGAGTTCACCTCCAAGGTAGCTGCAACCCACTGGTTTCTCAGGGAAGGGCCAACTGTCCCAGGAGAGACAGCAGCTTGGGAAGACTCAGGGAGGGTAAGGCATGCTTCCCTGGAACATGCAAGATTCTTGGAGAAGGCTTCAAAAGCTGCCAGGTACTATAAAGAGTCCGAAGGCATTTGGAGAGCTAGCTGGCCCTTGTACCTCCTCACAGGAGTACCCAGAGAACTGGAAACATTTCATGTATTGGGGTCTTATCTGCAATGCAGGACAGAAGACCTAGGGCACAGTTCACTGGTTAATACAAAACCTCTAGGGGTAAATGTTGGAATCATCAGTGTCAGAAAGTCACTAATCCCAGCATCCGCAGAGCAGAAGCTGGTGAGAGATACACTCAGGTGTTACCAGAACCATGGAATGGGAGCCCAAAGTTCTAGGATGCGTTGGCATTTTAAAGAAAATTTTATTGTAGTGTGTGTGTGTGTGTGTGTGTGTGTGTGTGTGTGTGTGTGTGTGTGTGTGTATGATGTATGGGTATACATGTATATGTGTGGAGGTCACTGTGTGTGTGTGTGTATGATATATGGGTGCACATGTATGTGTGTGGAGGTCAGTGTGTGTGTGTGTGTGTGTGTGTGTGTGTGTGATGTATGGGTGCACATGTATGTGCATGGAGGTCAGTGTGTATGTTGTGTGTATGTGTGATGTATAGGTGTACATGTATGTGTGTGGAGGTCAGAGGACAACTTTGTGGGGCTGATTCTCTCCTGCCGCTTTTACCTGGGTTCTGGGGATCAGATTCAGGTCATCAGGCCTTCATCTTGCCAGATCTTGCTTAGTTTTTTGAGACAAGGTCTCACTCTGTAGCCCAGGTTAGCCTGAAAAATCTTCCTGCCTCAGCTTCCCTGGTGCTTTCATGACAGGCACGAGTCACCACATTTGGCCACCTGTGTGGTTTTTATGCACGTGGAGGTCTGGCTAGCTCCTCAATACACCCGGGTGCTGAATTAACTCATGTGAATATAGTCACTGTTGACGTTATTTTAACATAATGCCAGTCGGCTCTGCCACTGAAGCTTCCTGGCCTGGGGAATGGGTCTTTGGGATTTCAGCTCTGGTAAGAAAGTAAATTGCAGTACACGGCTACCCTGGCCAGGGGAAATAGGCATGGAGCTACACACCCAGCCACCCAGGTGGAGGAAGAGCAGGACAGGACCTGATCAGGTAGAGCTTCGCTCTCGGCCTTTTTATTTGCTGTTGCTAATGAAGGTCGAGTGAAATCTCCTGCCTTGGTTCCCTCCTTCCTTCCAAATACTGCACCTCTCCCTCGGTGACTTCTGTCCCTGCCTCATGCACCTGCGCCGGGGTTCACGGCTATCATGACTTGGGGCCAGCCCATCACCTCTGGAATCCTTGAGAGATCGTTTGACTCTGGGACTTTGCCCCCGTCGCCTCCTACCATCCTCTGCCCCGATCTGGAGTGGGGTGTCTGCATGTGGCTTCGTTTCTCCACCAGAAACCAAGTGTGGTGTTTCCGCCCCCCTCCGCCCTGCCCCGCTTCTGTAAGTGTCTGCAAAGCAGCCAGCAGGTGTCGTCCTCTAAGTGTGAGATCCCCCCCCCCCCCCACTGCCCCTTTCCATCCAGGAGCCCCAGGCAGGAGAAGGGAACAAGGTAATACAGTCACCAGTGTCCCACGTGAGCTAATCCATCAGGCTCCTTCTATTATGGTCTTCAGTGAGGCAGTAACCAGCAGTGGTGTGAGCCCCGGAGCTAGGTGAGGCTTTGTCTCATCCCCCAGAACTGCCAGGGCTACCCCAAAGGAAGCTGAGCAGAGATGGAAATGAGGTGGAAGACCAAGGACAGGAAATGGGCCCTAACCCTAACCTTAATCCAATCCCTGACCTATCACTAGTTAGCAGAAGTGCATTGATTTGACACTGTCAGCAAGCTGGTACTCAGGCCCCCAGAGTTGGCTTTACTTTGCAACAAGCCCAGCAGGGCTTGGGGAGGTGCTGTTGACAAGTTCATTATCACGGTGGTCCTCTGCTGGGAACCCAGAGCAGGCCCCTAGCCAGGGTCAGAGAAGAGGTAGGAGGGGACCAAGGCAGCTGCCTCCTACCTCACCAGCGATTCGCTGGAACAGGGCCCGGAACTGCTGCTCCTCCTCCGTTTCCTCCTCCTGTGGAGCTGGCTTTGGGGGCTGAAAGAACCACATGAGGTTGTGTGAAGGGCAGAGCGGGGCTCACAGAAGAGAAACCTGACACGTGCTTTCTCACACAACTAGCAAACAGAAGAGCCCACACTGGAGACTATGCTGTCCCCGAAGGAAAGGCCAGTAGAGCTCTTCCCTAGCACGTGGGAGGCCCTGGGTTCAATCCCAACACAACAAAAGAACAAGAAGCACACAGCACAGAACACGCTGGCCAGCATCAAGCTGCTCCAGAGATTTTCACATGGGAGTTAGAGCAGGGGGATTTCCCAGTCATATGGCCAGAGCTGTCACATCGGGTTCATCCTACATCTCCTGATTTCTCAAAGCTAGATAAACAACTTGGTTTCATCTCAGGAACATGAAGAAGTTCCAGCTTGAATGGTGTCATTTCAGTTGGCCAGAGCAGGAGCTCTGTACTCACGGAGGGCTCCTTAAGTTTCACTTAAAGTGAACAAGAAGGCTAAAGGTGTCTGGGCATGACTGGCAGGTTGGCACAGGGCAGCCATGCTCCAGCCTCATCCCTTGATCTATTATCTCTCTTGATAGTCACCTTCCAAGAGTCTGTCACTAGCATCCAGAGCAGACAAATGACTCAGTACACTTTGGGTGTTTTGCTGTTCTGTAGATTTTGGCCCATTTATAAACTGCCCCTAGGGGGCAGCACAGAGCAGCAGACTCTCCCTAAAGCCGGTGGAGATTCCGACTGTTTCAGAAGCACTTAGCATGTCTTCCTCCACCCCTCATATAGCCAACATTTATTATACAGCTTTGGATTTCACAATGACATTTTGATTCAAGCATATTATGTACTTTGACCTTATTAATTCCTCCATTAGCCTCTCCTGCTTTCCCGGCTAGAGCCCTGCCTCTTTCTGGTTAGCCCTCCTACCTTTATGATGTATATATGACACATAGACATATGTACACGTGTAGATAGATCTTAAGCACATCTTAAGGATCTCACAGCACTTCACAGTGAGTCCTGTATTTTCCAAATCAACCAGCCTCACCCTTATTTCTTCTCTTCTTCTTCCCCTCTCCCTCCCTCCCTCCCTCCCTCCCTCCCTCCCTCCCTCCCTCCCTCCCTTCTTCCTTCCTTCCTTCCTTCCTTCCTTCCTTCCTTCCTTCCTTCCTTCCTTCCTTCCTTCCTTTCTTCCTTCTTTTATCTTTCTTTTTGTGTGTGTATATTTTGAGATGGGCCTTATATATCCCAGGCAGGTCTTAAGTTCACCCAGTAGCCAAGACTGGCCTTGAATTCCTGACCTTCCTGCCCCTACCTCCAAAGTGCTGAAGTCACAAGTGTGTTCCACCTTAGTTATCTTCTTAAATAAAGTAAATCTGAAGTCATTTCACTCACTTCCTTCACAACTAGCAAGGGGCCTCTCAGGGGAAGGGGAAGCCCAAAGAAAGATGGCACCCAAGAGAACTTAATTCCGGGTACCCACCTGGGCCCTGACAGTCCCTTGGGCTGTGAGGGATGAGAAACAAAAGCCCTGACCTCTAGGTTAGAACCAGTCAGGGCACTTCCCTCTCTGCAAGCAGCCAGCTCCTGAATTTGATTTTTAAGAGGAACTGTGGTTTCAGAGACACATTCTAGAACCTTCAGCTGAACCCCATCCTCCCCAGCCACACGAGAGGACTCACCTCGGGAAGATCAATGTCTATGTTCTCATCCAGGTCCCTGCAGTGACAGAAAGCACACCGTCTTAGTTGTGGGCGTGCATCCCATGAGACTAGAGCTGTGAAAAGGTCCTGGCCTGTCAGAGGCCTCTTGTTCAGTGCTGTTTGCGTCTCGTGGGGTTGGCAACCCCTCCCTGAACCAGTATCCCATCCCCAGCCTTTCAACCCTGCCCAGCGTGCCAGAGAGAAGGAGACTGGCATGATCCTAACTCAAACACAGCTTGCGATCCTCAGCACACGAAAGCAAATACTGTAGCAGCATCCCCTGCTTCCCAGACGCACTCCGAAGAGGGCTCTCAAGGTGATCTGCGGAACAGTGACTCCTCCAAAAATCCAAAAGCTCTGCCTCCAGAGGAGACAGACGTCGCCAGAGGCCAGCCACTCAGCCTGCTCAGCCTGTTCCTTCCTGATCTGGGTCCTGAATTGCACAGAAAGGAGAAGCCCTGCTGAGCAGCAGCATTCATCTCTCTGCTTCTTGACTGCACATGCAGTGTGAGCGGCTGCCGCAAGCTCCTGCCGCCTTGACTCCCCCACTAACATGGAATGCACCTAGAACTGTGAACTGAAAATAAAACCTTCAATTGCTCTTGCCAGGACACTTTATCACAGCAATAGGAAAGGGAACCAAGACACCATGCCCTCTCTCAATATTCCCTGAACAGATATGACATCATCCCCCCAGAAATGCTGAAGGTTAGGAGCCTCCCTGAGAGCCACACCAACAGACAGAACTTGCTATATCCCCTCTGATGAGAACACAGTGCTGGCTTGGGCCCTGCATCATAGTGGGACCATCAGGGCTCAACTTTCAGTCTTCTGCTGGGGTAGAAAGCAGAGGCTTAGGATCGGTGTCATCTGGCTCTGCTCTGTACTGGCCACTCACAGGATATGGTCATCTTGGGCTTTTGTATAGGTGTTATGTGGGAATGGATGCTGAGAAACCCATCCTTGGCTTGTATCAGCATCCAGGAGAACACTGGAGAAATGTGAAGACTTCATTTCTTCTATTTGGCCAAGGAAAAGGATTGTGCCTTTGTCCTCTGCTGAGAACCCCAACCACACTTTGGAGCCGGGGCCCCTTCATTATACATTGCCATTCCCATTCTACGTTACTATACAGAAGGTAGAATAGAGTGGTGAGCCCACGTATCTGTGCATGTTGGTTCCTTTGGGGCTGTTTCTGGAATTCTCTAGGTCAGTGGTTCTCAATCTTTCTAATGCTGCGACCCTTTAATATAGTTCCTCATGTTGTGGTGACCCCCAACCATAAAATTATCTTCCTTGTTACTTTGTAACTGTAATTTTGCTACTATTCTGAATTGTAATGTAAGTATCTGATATGCAACCCCTGTGAAAGGACCATTCAGTCCCAAAGGGGTCTAGACCCACAGATTGAGAACCATCACAGGTCTTCCCTAGATTAGAAAGAGAGTTCTTATATCTTGAACCATTCCCCCGGAGCCACAAACACACTCGTTGGTGGTGAATGATAGCAGTGAAAAATGTTAGCATCAGGAGGACCTCTTTTAAGACTCCGGAACACGAGGTGGCAGTGTGAAACGGTTCACACTCACTAGTGGGTGTTTAAATTGAAGCCGAAAGACTGTGTGATTCTGGAAGCTTGTAATAGTCACCTTCAACACCATGTGCATAATACGCCCCGTATCCCTAAATGAGCTCTCCCCATTCTAGAAGCTTCTTGGGAGTGGGGCTTAGAAATGAATGGTTATACCCGAAAGGCCTGGTGAGTATGACTCCAGGAGCAGGTGAGTCGTCACTGGTGTGCAGTGGGGGGGGGGGGGAGGGGGGTAAGGAATCTGCAGCTAGGGGATGCAAGTTGCTTTGTACCCATCTCACTTCCTGAGCAGGCGATGGGAGGCGAGAATGGGGGTCTAGCTCTGCTAGACGCATCCCCGGTGGCCTTGAAGTATAGTGCACACTGAGGGAGGGCTCTGCCACCCCCACTCCTCACCGAGTAACTGCTCTCTTCTCAGAGAAGATTCTCAGGCAGAAGTCAGCCTCCTGGTGCGGCTCAAAGGTGCTGGGGATGAGGATATAGTCTCCCGGGGGCAGCTGGAAGCGGCCTGAGACTTCTCTCAAGTTGATGAATGTCTTGCTTCGTGCTAGGGAGGCATGGTACCTGAAAAAGTCCCTACTCAGGTGTCCATCCTTGTCCTGGTCCTTGTCTGGGCACTGCAAGGAAAGCAGGGGTCATCAGGGAGGCATGACTCTGGTCTTCATACTCAGTTGGCGAATTGGCTGTTGGTCGTGGCACAGAGTCCAGAAGCAACAGGGAACTCCAAGCCCTTGCAGGGACACTGAGAGCAGCCGGTCCCCTACCTGGTAAATGGCATAGCCAATGGTCAGCATGTTGGCGCCAAACCTCTTCAGCTTCCTGCGGTCTTTCTGCATCAAGGCTGCTAGGAAAGTGCAGCCATCCTGGCCCTCGTCCTTCTCAGTCAGGGACAGCTTTATCTGTGGGTTGGTCCAGAAGGTGTCTGCATTTGAAAGGGGGTAGATTACTATCCTGTCCTTAAAAATACAAAATCATAGCTCATATGACAAGGTGCTTGCTGTGTGGGCACCCAAGTTTGATTCCCCAGAATCTACCCCCACCAAAAACAAAAACAAAATAAATGACTAACAAAAAGCTCAGCAGGACACCTCCATGTATAAAGGCATTTTCTGTCAAAGCTGATGATGACCTGAGACCCACAAGATAGAGAGAGAAAGCCAACTCCCAGAAGCTGTCTTCTAACCTCCACTGGTGCGCCGTGGAATGCACATGCATGTGTATACACACACACACACACACACACACACACACAAGCAGTGAAGGCTAAGATGCATACACATGCATACACACACACACACACAAGCAGTGAAGACTAAGATATACACACATGCATACACACACACACACACACACAAGCAGTGAAGACTAAGATGCATACACATGCATACACACACACACACACACACAAGCAGTGAAGACTAAGATATATACACATGCATACACACACACACACATACACACACGAGCAGTGAAGACTAAGATGCATGCACATGCATACACACACACACCACACACACACTAAATAAATGTGATAAATGAAAACACACAATAGATGTAGTGTGTGCATTTAGTGCTGGAGACATGGAGCCAGGCAGATCCCTGGTGCTCGCTGACCAGCCAGCCTGGTCTACTTGATGAGCTTCTGGCCAGTGAGAGACCCTGTCTCAAAAACAAGGCAGGTGACTTTGAGGAGTGACAGCCAAGGTTGTCTTTTGTCTCTAAACTCATGTGAGCACACAGAAGAAAATTACAAAATCAAAATCAAAACCCGACACATGGGCTCACACATGTGAGCACACATAACACTAACACAAAGAAAACAATGACCAGACCCACACTAAAAAGGACACATACACTCTCTACTGCACCCCGATGCTTGTTTCTAACCCGGAAAGGTGGTCTCTTCCCTCCTTGTTCCCATTGGCCCTCTCACCCTATTTTCTTTTTTTTTTTTTTTCTTTTTTTTTTTTTGGATTTTTCGAGACAGGGTTTCTCTGTGTAGCTTTGCGCCTTTCCTGGAACTCACTTGGTAGTCCAGGCTGGCCTCGAACTCATAGAGATCCTCCTGGCTCTGCCTCCCGAGTGCTGCCTATTTTCTTTATCTTCAGCAATACACCAAACTCCTGCCTTCCTCTTCCTCCACCTTTTCAGCCGTTACCCACACAGCTCTTAAAGGTGCTCACACATGCCCCACTTCTCTGTTGGGCAGTAGATCTTTCCCCCCACTAACCTGGTGTGACTTGTGGCTGCATCACCTGAACCTTACAACAGCGTTTCCTTGAATGCGTCTTGCCAGCTTCCTGCCTAAGGCTCAGCTGTCATCCCCTGAGCTTGCTGTCCAGCTCCACACAGACTGCCCCCTCCATGTCCCTAGATAGATTGGATATGGGAATAGGAGACAGAAGAACAGAGAGGCCACCTACCCAGGAAGTTGCGGCAGCCACCAGCTGTGGAGCCACGAACCCAGCTTCCTTGGTGGACAGTCACCTCCCACTTGTGGAGGGCATTGTCCTCCAAGGCATCCGGTGTGAGGTTGCAGATCTCCACTTTGTCAAAATGGGCCTTGAAGTCTTCGAACGCCATCCTGAGATGGAGGGGAGGATGCACCATCAGAGCATCATGGTGATGACACCAGCTGTCGGTGCAGTGAACCACCTAACCCTCTTCCTGGGGAGGGGGATACCCTCAGGGTCCCTCCCAGAAGGAGGAAGACAGGGAGAAAGAAAGAGGGAAGAGAAAAGAAAGGGAGAAAGGAGGGTGGTTGTTGGATACATGAGATCTGATTGCAAGCAAAAATGGAAAGGATGACATTACCAGAACTCCCCATCATCAAGAGCAGAGTGTCCCAGACGCTTCTGCTCCTCCAGGCTCACAGAGCGCCACTCGAGAGAGCTGAAAGACCAGAGCCGCAATTCAGCCTGGGTGCATAACATAGTGATCATATCCTGTTTAGTGAGGCTCACTGGGCCCAGGGATATGAGCCAGCTCACCACTGGCTCCAGCATGACGGTGGCTAGAAAATACACTTTCAAGTGTTGTTGGTAGACAGCCCCTTCATGGGTGACATATGTGATGTATCATATGTGAGAGTCACAAGGAACTGAACACAGCAGCCCAGCTGGAGATCACAGTTCACACATGTCCCTCACTCAACAGCCTGCCTGTGACCTGGGGCAGGTCAAAGCCCTTCTGGTTTATAAATTGACACTTGGGTAGTGCTTCTAACTCTTGTGGTTGCCATTTGAAATACTGAGTGCCTCGTTTATGTGACCAGGAGCTCAGGAAAGGTCTGCTGTGGGGGAGTTCAACCTCAGGCCCCAACCTGAAGGCTCAGATAGAGCTAGAACTCACTCGCAGGAAGAGCTATCAAGGAGAAATGCTGGCTCCTTTGCAGGCTCAAGCTTGACATTCCAGTCTCAGTTGTGTGTTGTGATTTCCTCACTGCTTTCCAACCCAGCAGTCTCCCCAGCTCTGGGTAGGTTCTAGGATCCCCAGGGAGTGTTAAATCCGTGAGAACAGAGCCCTATACATGCTTTCTTATGTATACACAGATGGTGAAGTTGGTTTATAAACAGACACAGGAAGAGTCTAGCAGCAATGTCTAATACCAAAGTAGGACAATCAGAGCAACAACGGTTGTGTGAACGTGTTATCTACCATCTATCTACTCTCCAATCTATTGTCTATCATCTGTGTCATCCATCTACAGCACCATCTGTTCATCCATGCGTTCACACATCACTCACCCATCCATCATATACCCATCCATTAATTCATCATCTATCTACCCATCTATCTATTATCTATTCATCCATCATCCATATACTCATTCCTCAACCATCATCTACCTATTCATCCATTAATTTTTTTTTTTTTTGGTTTTTCGAGACAGGGTTTCTCTGTAGCTTTGCGCCTTTCCTGGAACTCGCTTTGGAGACCAGGCTGGCCTCGAACTCACAGAGATCCACCTGGCTCTGCCTCCCGAGTGCTGGGATTAAAGGCGTGTGCCACCACCGCCTGGCTTCATCCATTAATTTATCTACCCACCCACCTATTACTCATCTACATTCATCAGTCCATCATCTCTCTATCTACCAATCCATCTGTCATCTATCCATTCATCCACCCACACATCCATCTGTCATCTATATACCCCTTTTAACCCATCATCTATCAATCTGTCCATCGTCTATACATCCATCTATCATCTATGCATCCATCCATTAATGTAACCACCCATCCATTATCCATCTATCCATCATATGTGCATTTATCCACCTGTTATCCATCCATCATCTACCCACCAATTTACCCATTTATCCATCACCTATCCATCAATCCATTCATCTATCATCAATCCATTTATCTATTATCAATCCATTCATCTATCATCAATCCATTCATCTACTCACCAATCCATTCAACATCTATCTATCTATCTATCTATCTATCTATCTATCTATCTATCTATCTATCTGTCTATCCATCCATCCATCTATCATCTATTGCTCTAATTATCCTGCAGATCTCAGAAACCCCAACATATAAATGTTTCTTTCCTAATTAAGCTGAGCACTTTTATGTTTTCACTTGAAGGGTGCATTTTCTGGTTTCTCTGACCTGTCTAAGTGGCCAGTGTCACTACTCCTGCACTTGGGGTTATCATTAAGCAGAATAAGGTTGCTTGAACACACACACTGCAATAGACCACAACACAAAGGTCTGCACCATAGTGTAGCATTCATCCCACCACTAGGAATTATGTGACAGTTAATATATTCTAGATAGTTAATATTTATTTCCAGAATTTTCCATATGACACTCTATTGTCAGACCTCAGTTGACCGTGTTTAATTGAAATTGTGGATGGTGAAATCTCAGGTAGAGGGAGTTTCTCTCATTGAGATCTCATCAATTCTGCTGTGGTGCTCTGACTGTGCAGTAGGTCTATTTTGTGTTCACCTAGGCGGGGCTCATGACATCCAGGAAGGGCCTCAGCAGGACAGAAGAGAGACTAAGGGCCTCTGTTGGCTCGCCGAGTCATTTTCTGTGTGGGTCACATCCAGTGACGGGCAGCTAAGCAATGCCTTTGATGGGCAGCACCGGACACCAAGGGCTAGAGTGGCCACACCTCCTGCGAGCTTTGTAGGCAGACAGCCTCTGTTCCTCTCAAACTGTACCGTCTTTGCTTCTCCCTGAGCCCGAGTTTCAGAAGGGGACAACGGCAGCTTCCTGTACAGAAAGCTTCTGTAGACAGAAGGTAGGAAGGGCTGCAACATGGTGTCCTCGTGTTAATTCTAGTATCAGTGTCAGTCTTATTAATTCAGGTTTCGCTCAGTCTCAGTTCTTCCCATTTCCACCAGCAGAGGGAGGCCAATCTTGTCCTTCCTTTGCTGTCCTGGTCCAAATCCTTCCTAGCCAGTCTCCTTGAGCTCTGAGAAGGGCAAATGTGGACCAGCAGGACAAGAGCCTTGCAGGGATGGGGAGAGGCTGCAGCTTCTCAATTCCCAGTCACTTGGGTCACTGTCCAAGGAACATGTGGGGACATTCTGGAAAGCTGGCCTTTCCAAATTATTAGTAATGGGCCAATTTCCTGTCCTACTTCTGTTTCTCTGTTGAACCCATGGTCTTTAGCCAGTGATCAATGACCACCAGAAAGAGCCCTAGAGTGACCTGTTTGGCAGTGTTTCAGGGATTCTCAGACTCAAAAAACGCATACACACCCACCTACGTACACACGCACGCACAGTTGCTCATAACTGGAGTCAAAGTCCTTCCTGATAACCCAATGGCAGTAACTATCCACAAATATGATCACGTGACAGTGGAAGAGCTAGCCTGAGAGTTGTTTATCCAGGATCAAGTTTAACACAGGTATCCTAAGTAAGGCCTGAAGGGAAGAAATAGGGAGTTCTGGGACAAGCCAGTCCCTCACGGGTCTGCATAGGCCAGCCTGACTACATGTGGAGCTGGCCACAGAGAAGGGATGGCGCCACTCACCTGTCGCTCCACCGTCCATTCCACTCCACCTGGCCCCAAGGGTTTCGGACTCTGATGAGCTTGATTCTCCGGCCTTGGAAGTTTACCTCAAAGGAAAAAGCATCAAGGAAACATGGTGCAATGAGCCTGAAGTTGGCTTTAGCCGTCCACGAGACCCGGGTCCATCTCTATGTGTGAAGGCATTACTCAAGCTCTTGAGGAAAACACACCAAAGATGTGCCACACAACCTCATGTCTTCTTTTGTGCCCACTCCTTGCTCTTCTGAGACGGGATTCACGATATACTGACCTCAGGTTTTCCACACTCCTGTCTCACCTTCCTAAGTACTAGGATTATAAGCCTGCACCACCGGGCCTGGTGAGAAATGAATTTTCTTTTGAGACAAAGTCTCACTGTGTCAGGATCATCTCATTCTTGTGTAATGCAGACCGGCATCAGCCTCCTGTTGCTGGAGGTATAGGGTGCTGGGGCTGCAGATGTGCAGCGCTACCCCCAGATGACTCATCTGTTTGTTTTACACTTTATTTCATTCATAGTGTGTGTGTCTGTAGGCACGGGAATATCACAGGGCACATGTGAAGGTCTTGAGAGTTGATTTTCTCCTTCTACCATGGGAGCTGGCAGTTGAACTCAATTTCTCAGCTTGTTATGTTTGTGTGGCACGTCCTTTTCCTTGCTAAGCCATTTTGCTGGCCTTGACTCATCCATTCTTTTCGTATGTTTGTTTGTAGCCCTAGCTATCCTAGAACTTGCTCTATAGACCAGGCTGGCCTTAAATGCTGGCCTCAAACTCAGAGATCCATGTGCCTCCACCTCCTGAGTGCTGGGATTAAAAGTGTGCACCACCACTGCCCAGCTGGGTAGATGGATTTCACTTTTTTTAAAAAAATATGCACTGGCACTTTTCTTTTCTGTTTTTTTTCTCTAAACTTTTTTCAATGATTTGTTTATTTTTATCTTACATGCACTAGTGTTTTGCCTGTGTGTATGGCATGTATGACTGTATGAGGATACTAGATCCCCTGAAACTAGAGTTACAGACAGCCATGAGCTACCATATGGGTACTAGGAATTGAACCTGGGTCCTCTGAAAGAGGAGCTAGTGCTCTTAACCACTGAGCTATCTCTCCAGCCCTGACTCAACCATTCTTAATAAGCCCTTGGAGCTTTCTTTCTGAAAAGAATACTGAACCACCTCTGTAGAATAGTTATGTCATATCTGGGAAGTGAATCTAGTTAATAGGAAAGTGGTCTATCTTGACACAAATGAGTTTCCCATTAGGCGACGGGTCCCATATGTGTGTCCCTTTAATAATCTGCCCAGGGAATGATGCATAGTAGTCCCCAGAGGTTCATGAAATTACTACCTGCTCCCAATGTTCATTAGACTGAAATCCTATGTGCTGGGAGTTTAATTAGACTATAATCCTACATGCCAGGAGTTTAAGCAGCAACAATAAATGAAGAATTCTGCATCTCACATCCAGCCTTCTCTAGCTTTAGTCAAGAGAAGGTTTTTGGTGTTGGTGTGGGTAAGCCTGAGCCAGTAGGAGCCAAGCCAGCCATTCCTGAGGTCTTCGTAGGAAAAGGAGACTCTGAGAAAGGACTTAGAGGTTAGGAAGTATCAACTAACCAGAAATCTTAACTATCAGTTTATTGTCACATGATAAATTAGAGTTGTGTTTTGACATGTGAGAACAATTCAGATAAGCTGGAAATGTGGAAGACTTAGCAAACAGCCCGCATCTGAAGAGCGAGGAGAGTAAATGAAAGGCAGAGGAAGGAGGCCTCACTGTCTGCACTGCCTGCTGGGGCTGGGGCATGACTCTCCTGCCTTGTAACCAGGAATCACACTGCTGGTTTTTCTGGCCTTTAGGCCCTCCCTCAGACTTAGCCTGCAGTGAGGTAAGGGGTGTTCCTACAGTCTACAAGCTACAGGAGACAAATCAGAGTGGTTTTCATAATTATACAGGCCAATCCAATACATTCACATAATTGCACATATGTGTGCATAACTACATAGCAGATATGTACATAACAGATATGTACATATGTACATGTGTTTATGCTTATATAAAATGAGTATGCATATGTATTATACATGACAAACATGAATATATGTGTGCATATGCATAATTTGTATACATATGTGCACATATAATGAATATGCTTATCGGTATGCAAATATAACAAATATACATATGAGGGCACATGTGTATGTATATATATATTTATTAAATTGTTCTTATAATGACTGTGTATCTCTGCAAAACCCTGACTGTATAAGACTGCTATAGAATTGGGAAAGAATTAATTTATAAACATAAAATCTAGCCGGGCAATGGTGGTGTACACCTTTAATCCCAGCACTCTGTGTGGATCTCTGTGTGTTTGAGGCCAGCCTGGACTGCAGAGCAAGTTCCAGGACAGCCAGGACTATTACAAAGAGAAAACCCAATCAATCTACCAAACAAACAAACAAACAAACAATCAAACAAACAAAAAAAAACATAAAATCTAAGATAGGCCAACTGCAGTTCCCAAAAGGTGAGCTTGGTGCATGGGTCACCTGCCTCCTGTCTGTTTCCTATTCCAGCTCGCCTGTGTTAGGTGGTTTGTTCTCTGCTGCACAACATATCTAAAGACCAGGCTTGTCCTGTTCCTGTCCTTGGTCTCCTGCAGTTGGCCCCACCCCTACCTGGTCGAGTCCAGTCACAGTGTAGGCATGGCCCTTAATGAGACCAAAAGGAGTGCGGGCTTCAGTTTCGGAGGCATTCAGGATCTAGAAGAGAGAAAGACTGGGATCAGACCTATCCTCTAAGCCAGCCTCCCTCTGGGTCAGCCTTGGCTCCAGCCCTAAGCCCAGCTCTCACATCCTAGTCCCCAGTTCTGCAAGGGCAGCCATGTGTGTAGGCCTTCGAAGTTGGGGGTGCAGGACCCCCTACTAGGTTCACCAGTTCAACAAGATTAATCTTTTCCCAGGGTGAGGAGGGGGACCCCCATACATTGAAATGAGTTTACTTTTTTGCCCCCAAACAGAAACTAGTCACCCCAGTCATAGATTAGTGAATGGCACCACAGTCACACTGGTGACACGCGATTTAGTCACAAAACATGAACCTGAAGGAGAAGTGAATAATTTGTTCACAAAAAAGTAGATCTTTATAGTTAATCCAAAAAGAAAGGGGAAATTTGAATAGATTTCAAAAAACAGAGGGTATAAAATTATACCTGTATATGCATCCTACACATAGAGGAATTAGAAAAATGCTCTTAGCCTTCTAGCTGGTGGCTTTTTTTTTCATAGAGAGTAAAAGGAACACATTTCAGGAGAGCACACTGGAGGGTTCCTTCAGTGGGATGAAGGCAGCCTCCCACGGTTGCTGTGCAGCAGCACGGCCACATTGCGTTGAGGACAGCCAGGGCTCTGGTTGGTGTCGTGCTGGGGAAGCAGCCTTGGACATGATGGGAGAGACAGACAACTGTGCTTCTAGACCTCGCGGAGGGCTCCACTTGGCTGCAGGTGTATTTGCCCTTTGCAACCCAACAAGCATTACACAAAAGCTTGCATTTGCTTGTGTGTTTGAGATGGTCGCATGTATCCCAGCCTGTCCTCAGGTTGTGTAGTGGAAGATGACTTTGGACTTCTGACCCTCCTGTCACCATCTTCCGAGTGCTGGGAGTTACAGTATGTTTCACCAGCCTATTTTATACAGTGCTGGGGATGGACCCCAGGGCTGCCTGCAAGCCAGGCAAGTGTTCTACCAACTTGTGTTATAATTGAAGATGACCACCTTCCAGACACTCAAGCCCCTTCGGGGTTGACACTTCTGTCTGTTGGTGCTTAGACGGCTGGCCGGCCACTTACATCTATGGAGCAGCCCAGCAAGGAACCACGCTTCAAGGCCTTCTCCAGAATATCATAGAAGTCCTCTGGTGCTTCTCGGATTTGGAAGGTCTCAGCCACACCCCCAGTGAAGTCTTCCATGGCCTCCACGGTGCTGCCCCCCTTCAGTGCCTCATACCAACTACCATTAAGCCTACAAAGATGGAAGAGCGGATTGGTTGAGGGGATAGAGGAACAGGAAGAGGGTTTTCTCAGCCACAGAGCACAAGCCAGACTCTATGAGGAAGGGGAGTGGTACTAACAAGCTGAGCAACTGAGGCCGACGCCTCATGGGAATTGGCGTCTGAACATCACTCCTCTTGTCTTCCTGGTAAATGTGTTTTTATATGTTTAAACTGCTCAGTTTTTTTGTTTGTTCTCATGCCTCAGCCTCCAATGTGCTGAGATTTGTAGTTGGAGTTTTCTTTGGGCTGCCAACCAGCTCCCAAATAAAGACACGGAGACTTATTATTAATTATGAATGCTCGGCTTTAGCTTAGGCTTGTCCCACTAACTCTTTTAACTTAATCTAACCACTTACATTTTGCCTCAGGGCTTTTTACCTTTCTTTCATTCTGTATGTCCTACTTTCCTGCTTCCTCTGTGTCCGGCTGTCTGGCCCCTGGTGTCTTCCTGACATCTCTCTTCTTTCTTCCTTGTGCCTAAATTTCTCCTACTTTTCTACCTGCCCAGAAGTTCTGTCTATCTTCACCCTTGCTATTGGCTGTTCAGCTTTTTATTAGACCAATCAGATGCAGGCAAGGTAAAACAGCAACACATCTTTACATAGTTAAACAAATGCAGCATATCTTTACATAGTTAAACTAATATTTTGCAACAGAGATTATTTTTTATTGTTGTTTTTTGAGACAAGGTGGGCTCTGACTCCATAGACCAGAGTGGGCCTCAAACTCATAGCAATCCTTCTGTCTCGGATTCCTCAGTTTAAGACAGTAGGAGTAAGTTACCACATTCAGCTTCTAATTGAAAAAAGTTAAGACACAGTATTGCTATATAGCGCTGGCTAGCCTAAAACTTGCTATGCAGGCCAAGTTGGGCTCAAACTTATGGTGATTTTCTTGCCTCAGTTTCCCCAGAACTTGGGTTGAAGGTATTCATCACCATGCCCAATTTCTTCTTGAAAATTTTTTTATGTGTGAATATATGTGAGTAGATATGGTGTATATGCACATTTGTGTATGGATGCATATGCCTGTGTGCACACACAGAGGCTGGGGGTGGGGGACCTTGAGTGCCTTGTCTATCCCTCTCCTCCTTATTCCCTTGAGAAAGGGTCTTTCACTGAACCTGGAGCTAGGATAATGGCCAGCAAACTGCAGAAACCTTCCTGTTTCTGCTCCCTACAACACTGGGGTTATGGTCATTCACAACCAAGCCTAGCCTTTTGTATTTGTGTGTATAACCTATGTATATACATACATACACTTCTCATCACGGCCTCTGATGGGAGCATCGTAAGTCTACCCTTTGCTCCAGTTCCCTCCATCAGCATATACTACAGGCCCTTCTACTGGTGGGTAATCTTGCCCTCCAACAGCTGACATCTGGCTTTTCTCTTCCTGTCCTCCATCTCACCAATTGCTCAGTCACTGTGTGGATCACTGCATTGGGATCATTTGTCTGTACCCTATGAGATGTGACCTTATCTACCAGAGTTCAGTGCCTTAATCTCTCGGACATGTGTTTCTGGGGGTGAGTGAGGCATCTACTGTCTTCCCTCACTCAATTGAGGTTCATTTCATGTATTTGTGATGTGATTTGGACCTTTGAATCACAGGCCGGAACTAGAGGTCTGAGGGAATTGGGACCATCTGGCTAGGGATTAGAAATGGATGTGTTAACTCCACGTATGCGAAGTTCCTGGACTGGTTCAGTCACAGAGACAGGAAGTGGACGGTGCCAACGTGGGCTGGGGGGAGAGGAACAGGAGTCTCAGTGTCTGCCAGGGACTGGGGTTTTAGCTTTGCAAGGTGAACAGTTCTGAGGGACGGGTGTGTGGTGGTCACATGACAAATATGTGTGTTAATGCCATGGAACTATGCTCTCAAAATACTAACATGGTAAATTTTATGTCATGAACATTTCACAACAATTTTTAAAAGGAAAGAAGGAAAGGAGCACTTTTGCTGTCTTTCCATGTATGTGGTTTAAAGCCACATACCTGAGCTGTGGCAAATCCTGGTATGAGACCTGAAGAACCATTGTCCCATGTTGGCACAGCCAAGGGCCCTCTTTCCTCCTAGTGCCTCTCCTGCCAACATTCCCAAGGCCAGATCAGTGATTCAGGGAGATGGAGGAGACATGAGGCCACCTTGAGGCTTGAGGCTGGAAATGTCTAGGCCATGGCATGAAAATGGCCTAGTGGTCCAAGTCCCTGACAGGGAGCAACCACTCTTCCCTAGTTTCTAACTGCCTCCCAGTTTCTCCACCAAACATCCCTGTGAGGGGATGCACACAGGCTTCCAGGAGCGGGAGGAGGGAGCCCCACTCACTTGGCATAAGCTTTCTCCAGCAGTGCGCTCCAGAACTCATTGTGGTCAGCAGAGTGGAGGAAGACCAGGTGGGTCCCGGAAGGTGGGCAGGCGGGTCATCGATCACGACATCCAGCCACTCACTGTGCTGCCAAAACTAGCACCCAGGGCAAGACAGGTGACAAAGACGAGTCACGTGGAAGTGTGGCCCGGTGGTAAATGCTTACCCTGTGGTTCTTCTCTCTGAGCAAACTGCCCTTGAGCCCCAAGGAAAATCTTATCTGGTGCCATGGCAGGACCACATGAATGTCATGGGCGAAGGCCATCCGGGCATCATAGAAGGGTAAGCCAGGTGTCACTGCAGGGCTACCCTGGCTTTGTCCACTCAGCCATATGTTGGGCCTTCATCTGCCATCAAAATCAATCCCAGATCTGTGTCACCGTGTAAGTGGGTGAGAGAGCAGTCACAGTAGACACACCTGTGCTCTGAGCTGATACGTCTTCTCCACAGGACTCCAGGTTAGGTGGCCAGGGGAGGGTGGTGTGTGAACTCAGCTCTGTTCACACACAGCCCAGTCTCCATGTACACTCACACCTTGTTTTGGCCTGTCATTATTCCACATTTTCCAACCCACATAGTTCCCCCTTGGTTCATAGATGGAGCCCCAACATGAATGTGTATGGACTTGGTTTTCCTACGTGCCATGCATGTGGAAGTGAGGAGCATATGGGTAATGCCCCTGAGAGTCTGTTTGGGTGTATGCATGTGTGAATATATGCGTCTATGGGCACGAGTACCTACATACATACATATATTTGTGAACATGAATGTGAGTGTTTATGTGTGTGCATGAGGTGTGTGTTCATGTACATGTACTTGTGAGTTAACACACATGTGTACACACTTAAATGTACACTGTGTGGGTGTCCTAGTTAGCATCAGTTGTCAACTTGATACACCTTGGAGTCATCTAAGAGCATCTCAGTTGAGGAATTGCCCAGATCCAGTTGGCCTGTGGTCATGTCTGAGAGATTGTCTTAACTGATAACTGATGTAGGAGAGCTCAGCTCACTGTGGGTGGCACCACCCTCAGTGGATAGTCCTGCCCTGTATAAGAAAGCTGTCATGAACTAGTGGGCAAACTGCAAGCAGCATTGCTTGAGTTCCTGCCCTGACTTCCCTTAGTGATGAACTGTGACCTAAGAGTGTAAGCTGAATAAACCTTTTCCTCCTCTAAGTTACTTTCCATCGAAGTGTTTTATCACAGAGACAGAAAGAAGCTGGAACAGTGGGTGAGAACATGCATGAATGTGTGTGGGACAGAATGTGTATATGTGAATATGTGGGTGAATGTATAGGTATGCGCACCTGTGTGAGTGTGCATATATGTGAGTTAGTACATCTTTGTGGGTGTAGTGTGTGTGAGCCCATAGGTGTGAGAATGTGATAATGTGCATCGCCTACATGCATAGAAGAACGTGTGTTTGCACAGGCATGTGAGTGTATGTGTGTTTATGAATACAGGTATATGTGCACACACGTCTGAGTATATACACATATGAACATGTGTTCATACATTGTGCTCATCTGTGTATTACATGTATGTTTACCCAGGTGGAGAGAAGTAGGCAGACAAAGTGAGAGGACAACAGGAATCAGGCCCCTGGGACAAGCCTTCCATGCAGCTGTCACACAAGCTCATGGCTTGGAGGGCCATGTTTCTCCAGCATCTCCCCATCTGCACTTCCTCCACTTGTGAGAAGTGCCCTGGCTCCCCAGGGGAGCAGCCATGTTTCCCTGTGGATACGCTTCTCTTTTCCTGCTGCTTGCTGCCTCTGGAAATCCTCCCCAGAAGATTCCCACATGGTTTGGCACCATGACTCATGCACACTCATGCACACTCATGCACACTGTCACACAGCTCCCGGAGTTGTCAGCAGTATCTCCTGTACCAGTATCTCCTGGTCTCCTCCCCCACAAACAGACCCAGGGGCTCAGGCTTCCCTTACCTGGAAGTGGAATATCCCGGCATAGCCAGAGCCAAAGCCTTGGTCCTGGGGAACCACCCTGGCCAGTGCTTTCTGATTGAGGGTCAGGGAGGCAATGGCCGCCAGGAGCCAGCAGTCTCCTGCAGAGTGGAGGTCACACAGGCGTCATACTTTCTGCAGCTGATTCTCAGGAATCAAGAAAAAGCAATGCCAGAGGGGTGTGGAGACACATTTCTGCTTTGCTAAAAACAATGGAGTGACAGCAAATATCTCTGTCCCCTCTGCCTATCCGGCCCGCTCTGCTGCCCTGCTCTGTGGTTGCCTCCTGGACACTGTGGCAGTATTTGCTGACTAGTTTCAGACACAGGGATCCATTGCCTCTCATCTTCATAAGGTCCCAGAGGACCAGGGCGTATGATACATCCCAGTAGCTCTAGGTTACTTGGTGGGGAAAGGGTTTCGGAAACACCCCAGTGGTGCCTGCTGCAATCCTGAGCAATCCTGAGCATTGCCTCTCCTAGACCAGGCTTGGTTCAGCTACCAGCAGCAACAGCTCCAAGGAGGCTCCTTTGCCTCCCTCCCTCCCTTCCTCCCTCCCTTCCTTCATTTCCCTTCCTTCCTCCCTCCCTCCCTCCCTCCCTCCCTTCCTTCCTTCTTTTTTTCCTTCCTGGTCTTTTCTGACAGGGTCTCATTCTATAGACCAGGCTGGTCTGGACCCAGTAGTAGCCTAGACTGGTCTTGAACTTATAGCAATCTTCTATCTATCCATCAACCCATCCACCCGTTATCCATCCATCCATGTATCATTTACACATCATTTACTCATCTATCACTTATCCACCTGTCTATCCATTATCCATCCATCTGCCATTCATCTGCCCATCCATCCATCTACTATCTATCCATCCATCACTAATCTACCCATGCATCATCTACCAACCCATCATTCTTCTATCCATCCATCTATTGACCATTCACCTGCCATCTATCTATCAATTGTACTATCTACCATCTGTCAATCAGATATCATATCTGTACATCTATTTATGTATGATCTGCTCACTTTTTATGGTCTACCCATCTATCTTCCTATCATCTATCTGTATTATCAATCATATTTACCTATTATCTACCATCTATCATCTATTTGTTATCCATCATTTATCATATGTCTACTTATTATATATTGACTATTTTATAGTCTGTCTTCAATCTATCATCTAGATATCATCTATCTATCTATTGTCTATTATCTGTTTTCAATCTATTATCTACACATCTATATTCTATCCATCTTTCTTCCTTCCTTCCTTCCTTTCTTTCTTTCTTTCTTTCTTTCTTTCTTTCTTTCTTTCTTTCTTTCTTTCTTTCCTTCTTTCTCAATCTGTTTACTGTCACCAGTCTGGGCAGCTGGCTTTGGGATTCTGTGTGAAGACAGCTCAGGGTCTCACTGAGATTCCAGATGATCTGTTCTAACCACCAGGATCACAGTGACAGCCTGGGCTCTGACTAGCTCAATCTACATAAGCCATGCTCCCTTCTTTAGCAGATTCTACAGTGTGTTTGTTTTTCAAAGATTCAGTAAGAGTAAGTCTTGCCCAGTTTCACACTAACTCCTGGTATACTGGACTGATTTAGCTGCTGTGAGGTCTACCAGGGTCCCTTATAGGAGTCAGATGGTGTGAGCATGAACACAACTGTGGTGTAATGGCTAGAAGCATGGTTTCTGTAGCTGAAATGCCTTTGCATTCTGACTGCCCATCTGTCACTCATGACCTTGGACATATTGTTTGGTTCCCTTGCCTCAGTTTCCTCGAATGCAGCCATGGGGAGGTGTCTGGGAAGAGGAATAGAAGTGTGAAATCTTAGGGAGAGTATCTAGCAGGTGAATAGGTTCACTGTGTAAGCATCAGTGGGCTGTGAAACCATGAGCCACCTGTGAGGAGCTGAAGGGTTGGGAGCCTCTGAATCAGGTGCTCCTTTTAGGGATGGCTCATCTCTCTAGGACCTTCTGGACAGGCCCAGAGCCCAAGTATGATGGTACCAGAAAAGCAGGGGTGCCAGAGTTGGGGAGGCCACTGGATCCTTGCAGGGAAGGCAGCTGAGGACTAGGGAGGGAGTGGACAGGGTGGCGGCCTTGTTCTGCCCAGCCCTGTCCCTGATCCTCAGGGTCCTGTGCTGCTCTGACGCTGTGGCACTTGTCATCCCCTCCCCTCTACTTACCCAGCTCCCCTTGGCAGATGTCAGTTCTGGTGGCTCCTCCAAGAATGAATTCTGGGTTTTCCACAATTTCCTGGAGGAGTGGGTGTCTTAGGGAAAGGCCCAGAGCATAGCAGTCATAGCAGAAAGTCAGCCCCCGCCCCTCAGGGAGGCAAGAGTCTCATGAAGGGCCAAGAGGAGGCAAAAGCTGCCAGGGATTCATGCTCTGACCTTCCTGGACTCAGCTTAGTCCATCCACAGCTCAGCCCAGGGGAGAGCCTGGCCCCAGCACTTTCCTCCACAGAAACTCACACCACATCTAACAGGGGAGCGGAGTGGGCTGTCAGCCAAGTACCAAGCCTCAGTGCATTCCAGGCACAGGCTGGTTTTATGCAGCCCTTACCATGAGAACTGTCAGCTTTGGGCTTTTGAACTCTTCACCATGTAATGAGCACGTGATCAGCACCTCAGGCAGGCATCCCCACATCCTACCCAGCTGCTTTCCTTTTCCCAGTAGATTTTCTATATCTGCACCACACCTAGAGGGATATCTTCATGTCATTCATAACTTAATCCACATGTACTGTGTATACTTTATTACATATTACCCTACTAGGAATTTTATGTAATTGTGAATATTTTATGTATATTACTATAAACATATAGAAATCTAATATGGAAAGTTCTATATAAACATTAAAAGTAAAAACAATTAAATAAAATACGTGGGTTTTTTTGAGACAGGGTCTTACTATGTAGCTTTAGCTGTCCTGGAACTTGCTATGAAGACCAGGCTGGCCTTGAACTCATAGAGATCCTCCTACCTCTGCCTCGCAGATGTTAGAATTAAAGGCATGCACCACCATATCCATCTGAAATGTGCATATATGAAAAAGGGTTTAAAGTTTCTTAAGAATGAAGTCCTCTGACATGAAGCACGAGATTGCAGTCACCTGGTCACTTTGCAATAGTGCAGCAGGGCTCTGAGGACCCCTGGCTTGGCTGAGGTAACAAATAGCTCTAGCGGGAGCCTTTTCTCATCAGCCATTTCTCCACTGTGCTGAGGATGGATCCCAGGGTTTCAGCATGCTAAGCAAGTGCCCTACCACTGATCTGCAGCCCCATTTTTATTTTATTTTTTTATTTTGAGACACATTTCACTAAGCTGCCCAAGCTGGTGTTGCACTCCCCAGTCTAGTCCAGGCCAGCCTTGCACTTGGGATCCTTCTGTTTGAGCTGGCTGGTAGCTGGGATCATCTCACTTCTTCATAGCAGTCACTGGGGTCACCTACCCCATAGGCTGCTGTCCTTGGGCAGAGCCACACCACTGCTGCCTGCTGTCCATCACGCTTATTCTTTTCTCCCTCAGAAACCCAAGCCCTGCGATGTAGGAACACTGTTTCTGGGCAGCGAGAGTTAGAGAATCTGTGCCATTCCCTGGAATAAATCTGCTGCCATTCGGTGTGCCTCGACCTGTCCTACAGGTCTTGATTTCTTTCTCTTCCCTCTCCAATCCCATCCCCTTTCTCCTCCCTCCCTCCCTCCCTTCCTTTCTTCCCTTCCTTTGGATTTTTGAGACAGGGCCTCACTATGTGTCCTAGCCTGGCCTTGAACTTGACCTTCCTGCTTCAGCTGTCTTCTGCCTTTCTGGGTGTCGAGCTCTGTCCCTGACTTTTCAGTCCAGTACAAGTGAGAGAGAGAAAGTCCATGTGATCTCTGAGAGAGACCATCAGTCAGCTGTCAGGGCAGGGCTGGAGAGCCTAGGGGACCAGGAGGCCTAGGGGAGGCTGAGGTGCACAGAGGCCTAAGCATCGGCAGGAGGCATTCCTGTGAAGGTCCAGAAGACGGACAAGCATAGCCTGAGGCCTAGAAGGATGCTCTGGACACAGAGCAGGACTCACTTGAACTGGATCAGGGTGACACCAGAAAGAAAACAGAATTGATAAAGCTATTGCTGAGGAGGGGCCAGGGCTGGGACAGAAAGTCCCAGGAGTCTCTAACTTGATACTTGGGGTAGTTCCAGCTGCAACTCCTCCTCCTAGCAATCCAAGTTGTCTGCTTCCTTGCTGGGCTCGGATTCCAGGGAGATGGTGGGAGTCGGGGGGTCTACTAAGGCCAAGGGCTGAAGTAAAAGCTGGTAGCTTTCCATCAGGCCCCCAGGATGTGGCAGTCTTGGGAGTGTAGTCTCCCAGGTCACCTACCCAGGAAGGGCTGTGTGCCTTTATTTGTTTCTAGAGTGTTCATGTGACCTTAGGGGGAGGGTTCTGGGGACAGGCTGTGCTGTTGGCTGTGCCAGAAGCCCAGGCCTGGCAGAGGAAGGACACGGGAGGCCAGCTTCTCCCTGAGACCCTGCACAACCTTTTGTACCGGCCCAGGCCCCAGCAGCCTTGGAGTCTGTCCACTAACTGACAGCATCCACCGTGCCCAGGGTAGACGGTGAGGCAGCAGAAGGGCGTCTCCATCTTTGTGCCTCAGGGTAGCTGTGTGGCTTTCTCCGTAGAGCAAGGCACATTGTTGTCCTCATCCAAGCAGAAGTCTGTTTATTACCCAGCCTGGTATGTCCCCTCCCACCCTTCCCGACCCCCAGGTTCCTTTCTCCTCTCCTTCCCCCACTCTAGTCCACTCAGCGCTTCCAGCCCTGGGTCACCTGAGGGTGAGTCTAACGGCCTCTGATGTCACACCTCTGATGTCACACTGGTTTCGTGTTCCCTTTCCCCAAACACAGCTGTGTTTGACAAGAAGGAGGGTCACTCTGTCCCCATAAAGTGGCTTGGCACGTGCTATTGAGATGTGTCCTGTATGAGATATGCACTTAGCCACAGGCTGAGGTTGAGGCAGCTCAGGGCCTCTCTGTACCCTGCCCTGCACCAGGCCCTACACTTCCACCTTAGCATGACAAGAGGAAACTCAGGGTTTACCATGTCTGTAGGGCTGAATGCAGAGAACAGGTTCCCTGACTAGGAAACAGATGAGTGTTTTCAGGGACAATATGTAGATAAGGGACAGTCTGGGTGACACTCACAGGGGAGGCAGATCCAGTTCTGAAAGAGTCCACAGGATGGGCTGTGGAAAGGAGACTGGAGACTGAATGTGATGAACGCAGTGCTCTGGATATCGGTCTGTATGCTGTAAATGTGTTACTCTGATTGGTTAAAAAATGAAGTGCTGATTGGCCAGTAGCCAGGCAGGAAGTATAGGTGGGGCAAGCAGAGAGGAGAATTCTGGGAACAGGAAGGCTGAGTCAGGAGTTGCCAGTCAGACACAGAGAAGCAAGATGTAAAGATGCCGGTAAGTCACAAGTCACGTGGCAAGGTATAGATTTATAGAAATGGGTTAATTTAAGATGTAAGATCTAGCTAGCAAGAAGCCTGAGCCATTAGACTATACAGTTTGTAAGTAATATGAGCCTCTATGTGTTTATTTGGGTCTGAGTGGCTGCAGGAGCTGGGTGGACACAGGAAAACTTCAGCTACAATACAGGCATGGCTTGGCCCCAGCCTCAGCCAGGGAAGGGCAGAAGAGCCCAAATTTGGGACACCTTTGCAAGCGGTATGTGGCAGGCACCATGGAGGCTGTGCTTCAGGGCCCTGCCCTGCAGATCAAAGCTTCCCAGTGTTGGGCAACTCTGGATGGATATCAGTGGTACAGATGACAGTCCCTAGGGCTGTGGGCTGAGACTCAGAGTCTCCATGGCTTTTAGTGGTCTCCCACTCCAGGAGGAGAGACAAAAGCCTTCAGGCTCTAGACCAGTGGTTCTCAACCTTCCTAATGCTGTGAACCTTTAATACAGTTCATCATGTTGTGGTGATCCCCAACCCTAAAATTATTTTCGTTGCTACTTCAAAACCATAATTTTGCTGCTGTTGTGAATTATAAATATCTGATATGCAGGACATCTGACATGGGACCCCTGTGAAAGGATCATTTGACCCAAAGGGGTCGTGACCCATAGGTTGAGAACAGCTGCTCTAGTGGAACAATGTTAGTGGGGGTATGTACAAGGAGGAGAAAAAACTGGGAAGTGGAAGGCTGAGTGGGAGAGACACTGCCAGCCGCCATCAGGATAAGGAAGATGTAAAGTACCGGTAAGCCACAAGCCACGTGGCAAGGTATAGATTAATAGAAATGGATTAATTTAAGCTGCAAGAACAGTTAGCAAGAAGCCTGCCACGGCCATACAGTTTGTAAGCAATATAAGTCTCTGTGTTTACTTGGTCGGGTCTGACGGCTGTGTGACTGGCGGGTGAGAGAGATTTGTCCTGACTGTGGGCCAGGCAGGAAAACTCTAGCTACAGGGGTACAAGGCTGGGATTCCCAACCACTTGGATGCTAGTGTAGGTGTGAGGCTGGGCCTCCTGAGTGAGTCAAGCATGGCCACAGAGCAAGTCCTGGAGGAGCAGGATGGCCTCAGCAGGGAGGCTGAGAGAGGAGTGAGTGCACACTGTGAGGAACAAGAGCCAGGGCATGCTGAGAGTGGAGCAGCAGAGGGGGCCAGCATCTTGGAACCCCCCCCCAGAGTCCTGCTGGCTTGCCAAACCTGCACACCAAGCCTTTCGCTACACCCAGAGGTCCCTAGGTCAGACTCCCACACATTGCAGAGATGTAGTGCCAACGTCTACAGCGTATTTGTGCATGTAGGAACACACAGAAATTCACATGCACAGGATACACGCAAATATGTACGTGTGTGCACACAGACACAGTGTACAGACACTTGTACACATGCATGAACACAGAGCTACATATGCACACCACACACAAATACACATGTGCACCATGTGTGCATAGGCATGCAGAACTTTCTTGCAAATATACATTTGTGTGCACAAGATATACACACATATATATATACACCCATGTGTCAAGAGTGTGGCTATTGAGGTCTGTGGCTCCAGTAAGTCCGCTCCCAGAAGTTTCTAAAGCAAGAACTTCCAACCTTTCCTCATCACACAACACAGGAAACATGAGTGTGTGGGGCATCCTGAGATGGAAGGGAAAGCTGCCTAGGGCCAAGTGTGACTGTCCTGGGAAAGTGACCAGGCCAAGTGTGACTGTCCTGGGAAGAGGCATCAACTTCTCAAGAACAATTTCCCAAGATCTTGATTACCAGCAATTCCCAGGACTGAATGAACTGCACCTGCAGCCCATGGCCCAGGCAGCTGCCCACCACTGGATGACATGCACCCACAGCCTGGAAAGTTGCTCAACACTGGATGAAATGCATCTATACCCCGAGCAGCTGCCCACCACTGGATGACATGCACACACAGCCTGGGCAGCAGCCACAAACCCATTTATCCTTGTCCTGAGGGCTGGAAACAAGCCCAAGAAGACCCGAGGGTTACCAAAGTGCCACCAGAGGTCATTTCTCTGTGTCTTAGGACCTGTACTTTTTCACATTAGAAATGTCCATTTTTTTTCCATAGCAGAGAGCAATCTACTTATCCACCACATGGCCCAAGTATCTACCTTTACTGCCATTGGCCACACGCAGAGAACCAAACTAACTTTCAAGCACCCAGAGAGAAATCCTGGGAGCCCTCAGTATGTCCTGCTAGGACCACTGAATGTTCTTTGCTGCTCCCCACACACAAGACATCAAAATAGGACTCATTACTGAATCCTCCCATGAGGACCATTGCCTCACTGATGGAGGCCAGTACCATCTGTGTACACAGACACATATGCATGCATGTGAATACATATGTACATGCAGATGTACATACAAATACCCATACGTGTACACAATACATATACAGTCCAAAAAAACACGTATGTGTGTGCACACACTTCTAAACTACACATTGTCCAGGACAGGAAATAGCAGTAAGTACTGGTTAATTTTTATCAACTTAATACAAGCTAGAGTCATTGTGGAAGAGCGAACTTCAATTGAGGAATTGCCTCCACCAATTTAGACCATAGACAAGTCTGTGGGGGCATTTTCTTGATTAATAATTGATGTGGGAGGGTCAAGGTCATTGTGGTAGGTGTCTCCCTGGGCAGGTGGTCTTGGGTTGTGTAAGAAAAGTAACTGAGCAAGTCATGGGGAACAAACCAGTAAGCAATGCTCCCCGCATGGTCTCTGCTTCAGTTCCTGCCTCCAGGTTCCTGCCTTGAGTCCCTGCTCTGACTTCCGTTCATGATGGACAATAAGCTGTCAGATGAGTAAACCCTTTCCTCCCCAGGTTGCTTCTGGTCTTGGTGTTTATGGCAGCAGCACAAAGCAAACTGAGACAACCTCACTGCTTTATGAATAATGCCCCTGAGGAGGCCCGATGCCTTTCTTGTGTAGCTGTTTTCTAAACGTTAGACATGTCATATATTTAGCACATCCACATTACTTTAATGATGTACAATAGGAGGAAGTGGCTATGGTAAGCAAGATGAGATCTGAAGGCTGGCAGGATGGCGCAGTAGGTAGAGACACTTGCACATAGGCCCGAGGACCTGAATTTGACCCCCAGATCCCATAAGGCAGCAAGGAAAACAGGCTCCCAAGAGTTGTCCCCTGACTTCTACATGTGTGCTACGGCATGTTCGAGCCCGCATACAGAATAAAGAAAATAAAGGCTGGTGAGAAGACTCAGCAGGTAAAGGCATTTGCTGCCAAGGCCGATGGCCTGAATTTGATCCCTGGGACCCACACAGTGGAAGGAGAGAACCTGTTTCTGCAAGTTGTCTTCTGACCTTCACTCATGTGCACGCACGCACACACACACACACACACACACACACACACACACACACACACAAGTAAATGTAATAAAAATGAATAAACAAAATTTCAAGATGAGATTCTGAGCCACCCGTGATGGAGAAGCACATGGCAACACTAACAGTGAAAACCCGTTGATTACAAAGGACACCTGTATGCTGGCCCAGCCCGACCTCAGTCATCTCTAGGTGAGGAGGCAGTGGGGGCACTGCCTCTCCTTACACACACATCTGTTCCCACCCAGAGGGTGCAGCACCATGACCCTGGGTCACAGGGAGGGCCCTGACTAACCAGGTGCTGCAAATATTGACCTTGTGTCCTGAGCACCAGCTGGTGCCTCCTAGGGACATTGGAGATGGGATGGCACTCACCGACTTTATCGCTCTGGGAGTGGTGTGTGTGGCTTTGGAAAAGTAGCCCTGCTTTTTTTCCAAAGTAGGGTCCAGGCATCACATGCTTGCTGAGAGCTTGTACTAACACCTACCTGTCCCCATGGTGCATCCTAAGTTCTGGGCCCAAAGCCTCAGAGCAGGGTTGGTGATCTCCTAGGTACATCACACACATCTCAATTGACCCCACTCACCCTGGCTAGTTTGCCTTTGTGTTCTGATTGGCCAAGTCACCAGAGAGCTGTCCTGGGGCCACAGCTCTGATCCTGCTCACAGGTCATAGATGAGGCCTTCTCTCTCTATGTCCCCAGACTCAGTGGGACTCAGAGCTGGAGGCCAAAAGGTTGTGGCCAGATACCATGGGGACCAGCCGAAGATGCAGCCAGCCAGCACATTACCAGAAAGCTTCCCACAAAAGACAGAAAGTGGTCTTAACAAGTGACTGGCTCTTCCCCACCCCCCCCCCTTCAGGGCCTCTCTCTCTCTCTTTCTCTCTCTCTCTCTCTCTCTCTCTCTCTCTCTCTCTCTCTCTCTCTCTCTCTCTCCCTCTCCCTTCCTCTCCCTCTCCTTCCCTCCCTCCCTTCCTCCCTCCCTCCCTCCTTCCCTCCCTCCCTCCCTCCCTCCCTCTCTCTCCTCTCTCTCTCTCTCTCTCTCTCTCTCTCTCTCTCTCTCTCTCTCTCTCTCTCTCCCTCTCCCTCTCCCTCTCTCCTCTCTCCCTCTCCCTCTCCCTCTCCCTCTCTCTCCTTCCTTCTCCTTATCCCTATCCCTCCCCCCCCCCTCTCTCTCTCTCTCTCTCTCTCTCTCTCTCTCTCTCTCTCTCTCTCTCTCCCTCTCTCTCCTTCCTTCTCCTTATCCCTATCCCTCCCCCCTCCTCTCTCAGGTTCTCCTCCTCCACCTCACCCTACTCACCCCTGGCCGTTTCCACACAAAGGGGACCTGGGGCCTCTCACTGTAGAACAGGGAGCCGTTGCTGGCAGGGAAGTCAGCATCCTCAAACAAGGTGCTGGACTGCAGACAGCACTGCCTCAGCTGCTCAAAGCTTTGACCCGAGGAGTGGATAGTCCGGGCATCCTTGGGGACTGGGTGTGGCTGGGGTCTCAGAGACTGGTGCAGGTAAGGCATGACTGCTTCTCTACAGCCAGGTGGAGGGAGAAGATGTGAGAGGCAAGGCGAGAGTAGACAGCAGAGAGGAATAGCCAGAGGCCCTCGCTCTGGCCTCCACCCACTTGCTGGGCACCACCCTGTGAAATGAAATAGGGCCCTCCCAAATGGCAAATACTGAGTGAGACCTCTGCCCGTTCAGAGTTCCGAGGAACCATAGGCATCTCAGGAGCATGGCTGTCTGAGCAGAGGGAGAAGGTACCTTATTGGTGGAAGTATTAAGGCAACTCCATGTAGTTAAAAGGGAGGTTTAATTTGTGAGGTAACTTACAAGTAAAGGGATTGGTTACAGGGTCCGGGAAAGGTGAAGCGCAGTCCAGTGGTGTTCTCTGGAGAACTCTGCTTGATCCTACCTCCAGCATCCAGGATCCAGGAACCAAGAGAGCCGGCACATCCGGATCTCGGGTCTGAAGGGGTCCCATCTTGGCCCCGCCTCATAGGCATGACAGTAGCCTCAATAGGGGTAGTACTTCCAGGGCAAAGCTGGAACAGCTACTCACTACAGTACCTTTTTGATGCACTGAGGAGTCCCCTGAAGGGCAGGCAGCTTCATAGGGAAGGACAGCAAGCAGCCAAATTGTTTCTGGAGGTGGCTGGGGGGGTCTAGAGTCAGGCAGAGAGTGGCAGAGCTCTGTGGTTGGAGGGAACTGGGTGAATCACAATGTACACTGCAGGCAGATGGACCCTTGTGAAGACAACCCCATCCTGACTCACATCAGAGCTCAGCAGTCTCTTGTGTGGCAGACCTTCCTAAAGTATGTGGAACACCGTCTGGATCCCAGCCACTTGACGGTCACAATGATGAGGTTACATCCCCACCACGCCTTCCCTACAAGGCTGGGGAATTGACTCAAGTGGGAGAGTGCTTACTGCACTCAGGAGGACCCGAGTTTGAGCCCCCAGGAGCTACATAAAAAAAGCTGAGCACAGGGGCATCCACTTGTAATTCCAGCACTGAGAAAGTGGAGATAGGTGGGTCTCTTGGGGCTAGCTCCAGGCCAATGAGAGACACTGTCCCAAAGAACAAGGTTAGTCCAGCGGAGGTGGCACACACCTTTAATCCCAGCACTCAGGAGGCAGAGGCAGGCGGATCTCTGTGAATTCCAAGCCATCCTGGCCTACAGAGTGAGCTCCAGGATAGCCAAGGCTATTACAGAGAAACCCTATCTCTAAAAAGAACAAAACAAGGCCGGGCGGTGGTGGCGCACGCCTTTAATCCCAGCACTCGGGAGGCAGAGGCAGGCGGATCTCTGTGAGTTCGAGGCCAGCCTGGGCTACCAAGTGAGTTCCAGGAAAGGCGCAAAGCTACACAGAGAAACCCTGTCTTGAAAAACCAAAAAAAAAAAAAAAAAAAAAAAAGAACAAAACAAAAACAACAAACAAACAAAAAGGAACAAGATATGAGGGCTGGAGAGATGGCTCAGTGGTTAAGAGGTTCCAGAGGACCCTAGTTCAATTCCCAGCACCCACATGGCAGCTCACAATTGTCTGTGACTCCAGTTCTAGGTAATCCAGTCCCTTCTTCTGGCTTCTGTAAGCACTGCACACACATGGTGATATACATACATGCAAGCAAAACACTCATACAGATAAGGAAATAATAACAACAACAAGGTGTATGGCATCAGAGGAGTACACACTCTCTCCAAAAGCATGAGGTCCTGGTGGTTTGACCCTGAGGCAAGTGAGCTCAAAGGATGGCTATAAATCTCCCCTCCAGACCTTACCCTCACAATGTCTCTCATCACATTAAACTCTCCATCAGGATCTTGCAGGCTCTCAGTGGCTTGAGCAAAGCTTCTAGGCATCTTAGAAGTAGACCCAGGCATTCTGTGGCACAGCCTCTCTTCCTGGAGCAGGATAAGGGTACCTGAGCAGCTAGCAGAGTCTGTGACAGGGTTTCCAGGTCTATGGTAGCCACTGGGAAATGCCAACTGGGTGGCTGCCTAAGATGAAGATGATCCCCAACTTCACAGTGCCCTCAAGAGACCCTGTCAAACTAGTTTACAAGACATAGGGTTGAGACTATTGTTTCACTGACAAGAGTATATGTCTGCCATGCAGGAGGCCCTGGGTTTGGTGGTACATGACTGTAATGCCAGCACCTGGGTGAAAGGCAGGAGCAGTGGAAGTCTAAAGTTGCATAGCCTGGGCTACAGACCCTGGAGAAAGCAGGGAGGGGAGGAAGGAAGGAACAAGGAAAAAGAAATTGTATAATTTCTCCCCATCTGAACTTCATGGTCAAGTTCCTCAGAACTTGGCCAGTCCCTCAGAAGCTTTCTGTTTCCACACACCAGGGATGACATTTTGGTGTGCCTTAATGAGTTCTAGCAAATGAGACAGGCTTCAGGGTGCAGATAGGTGAAAATATATTGCTGAGCATGAAAATCTGCCTTACAGCCAAGAGTTGTCAGTGGGATTTCCTTCTGTGGGAATACAGTTTCATGCCATGTGCTAACAGCATCACATGGAAACAGGGTGGTACTATAGGGTGAGGCAGGAGTAGGGCAAGGAGGTGGTCACCAAACTCTCTGCTGGAGCCCAGAGATGTATAATGATACAGCATAGTGAGGGTGGCAAGCATCCCACTGTGTGGGGGCTCTGGGTTCGGGGGACAGAAGTGAGCTCACGGTGTTGGACCGGGGGGATCAGGAGACAGGTATTGTGGCTGTAAAGAGGAGGCGGGTGTCCTGAATGGGATTGCACACTGACTGGGAAAACAGCCTTGGGAAAGCAGCTCTCTGGGAGGGCTTGAACAGAAGTTTGAACAGAAAAACTCACTTCTGGTGGTGGTGTAGATGTGACATGTAGAGGGGTGCTGTTGGGAGTCATGAGAGCAGCCAACCAACAGGGAGCGCTGTTGGAACTAGACTTGAACTCAAGTCCAGCTCCCGGGCTGGAAACTTCCACAGCATCAGGTAAGGCTCTGGTTACCAGGGAACCAGATGATGCAGGAGCCTGGCTGCGAAGAACCACCCAGCAGAAAGGAGCACATCACTCACAAGACTTCACCCAGAGGCAAGGCAAGCTTCCCATCCTCCTGCTGGAGGCCTTGGTGTCTTGGAGCAGATGCTCCCAAAGTCAAGTCTTGCTTCCCACAGAGACCCAGAACTGTGGCCTTCCCACAGAGACCCAGAACTGTGGTGTGTCTCCAGAGGTGGTCCAGGACCCTGGCGAACATTCCTGGCTCCTGCAACTGGCTAAACTTGCCCCGTCCTTGAAGAAAGTTTTCATAACCCCAGGAGAAAGTCCCCATAATGACAGACTGCACAGTCACCCCTTGTGAAAGGGGAAGTGGACTCTTCCATCTTCAGTAGGAAGGATTACACCTCTTACTTTTATCTAGTGCTTGTTAGCATTCACTAGGGGTTAATGTCACTGCCTGGAGCTGGGGGAGGGTGACAGGAGGCTATGGTCCCCAGGCTGTGGTCTGGCTGAGTGTGGATGAAAGCAGAGGTGTGGGGTAACAAAGGGCACAATGGAAGGGAGGTTACGTCAGGCACAGGATCAGGTCACCTTCGCTCTTTAAAACACACACACACACACACACACACACACACACACACACACACACACACACACATTTACTTGTTTAGTGTGTGTGTGTATGTGCACGCTCACATGTGCTCACAAGTTTCATAGGACAATTTACGGAAGTCAGTTCTCTTTCTACCATGTGGATCCCAGGGACTGAAGTCAGGTCATGAGACTTGGATCCAGGTGCTTTGTCTGTGGAGCCATCTTGCTTACCCACCTTTGTCCTCCCACGTGGTGAGCCTAACAGTTATAGACTATGCGGACATGCCTGATGACAGATACATCTCCCATGAGTAAGACAGGCCACATACAGCCGTATTACTCCAAACTCTTCTCTATTGCCTCTTCTTTTCTTCCAACTCTTTGTGTGTGAGAGGGGGTGCATGTGTGTAGGGGGTGCATGTGTGTAGGGGGTGCATATGTGAGGGGGTACATGTGTGTAGGGGGTGCATGTGTGTAGGGGGTGCATGTGTGTAGGGGGTGCATGTGTGAGAAGGGGTGCATGTGTGTAGGGGGTGCATGTGTGCAGGGGGTGCATGTGTGAGGGGGTACATGTGTGTAGGGGGTGTATGTGTGTAGGGGGTGCATTTGTGTAGGGGGTGCATGTGTGTAGGGGGTGCATGTGTGTAGGGGGTGTATGTGTGTAGAGTGGTGTGTGTGTGAGAAGGGGTGCATGTGTGTAGAGTGGCGAGTGTGTGAGAGGGGGTGAATGTGTGTAGGGTGTTGCGTGTGCATATTTGAGGTCAGGTTGAACTATTGGTGTCATTTCTTAGCACTATCATTTATTATTTATTTATTGCTTTTGTTTTTGTTTTTTTGAGACAGGGTTTCTCTGTATAACAGCCCTGGCTGTCTTGGAACTCACTTTGTAGACCAGGCTGCCCTTGGACTCACTGAAATCTGCCTGCCTCTGCCTCCCAAGTGCTGGGATTACAGGTGTGCACCACCACTGCCTGGGAACCGCCATCTTTTTTTTTTTTTTTTTTTTTTTTTTTGACAACAGAGTCTCTCACTGGCCTGTAACTGACAAGGGGGGCCATTCAGTGAGCCCCAGGGATACAACTGTCTCTACCTCCCCAGTATTGGGGTGACAAGCATGCATCACCATATTCTTTCTTTTTCTTTCTTTCTTTCTTTCTTTCTTTCTTTTTCTTTCTTTCTTTCTTTCTTTCTTTCTTTCTTTCTTTCTTTCTTTCCCTTTTTCCTCTCAAACTTAGGTCCTTATGCTTGTGAGGCACACACCCTTGTTTTAAACACTGTGTATGTTAACCAGGTGGCACTCTCTCTCCCCAGGCCCATCAGTGCAGTATCCCTAGCCACACAGCTGGACCATGTGCACAAGGTCCACTGTTACTTCTCATCACTCAGATGAGTGCAGTAGCCATTGTTTTCTTCTCACATGAATGTCCAGGTAGTGTGAGCTGTCCGGCTCTGTCCAGGGGCTGGAATCATGACTTAGTGGCAGCTAAGGAGCCCCAGCAACCACCGTGTTCCCTGGCCGACTTCCAGGATGCCCTTCGATCCACTTTCTTGGTGTTTGTTTGTTTGTTTGTTTGTTTGTTGGGCATAGAATCTTACTCTGTAGCCCAGGCTGGCCTTGAACTTGAGGGGATCCTCCTGGCTCTGTTTCCCCAGTATTGGAATTGCGGGCTTGTACCACCATGTCCTGCATCCACACTACCTTGCCCCCTCTCTTCCTTGTCTGCAGCAGAAAGACGCTAGTATTTGTGTTTCCAAATGGCTTTGCTGTGTTTTCCATAGAAGAATTGACCATTAAGTAAATATTATTTCCAGAGCTCAGTTTTCGCAAGAGACAACCAGGCCCGTAGGACAGATCTTCTGTCATTGCTTGGAGCTCTGGTGGAAAGAGGGTGATGACATTTTTCCGTAGGAAGGGCCACGTCTTATCTAAACTCACTGAGCTGGGGCAGAAGCACCCTCCCATAGGCTTTCCCAGCATCTGCGCCAATGCAAACATGGAGTTCGGACTAGCAACATGTGGCTGTGGCTGTGGGCACATGAACGCTAATGAGCCAGCGTGGAGAAAGGGATTAGGAAACAGCACTTTCTGTCTGCTGCTGTGGCCTCATTCTGCTGTGATGGAAATAGTACTTTGTGTGCCAAAGGACCCAAGTGTACCCTGAGGACACCCCCAGAATCTGCCACTTTAACTATGAAGACTTGGTTTAGATGTATGTGACTGCTGAGGAATTTTCATTGACAAATAGTTTCTGAAACACACTTCCTTTCTACTGGAGTCTGACTGAGAGTAGCTCAGTGGGTAGAGTACTTGCCTAGCGTATACGAAGCCCTGAGTTCAATCCTCAGTAGCCCATAAAACAGGCGCAGTGATGCATTTCTGTAATCCCAGCACTTGGGAAGTGGAGGCAGGAGAATCAGGAGTTCAAGTTGTCCTTGGCTACATAGTGAGTTTGAGGCCAGCCAGGGCTACACGAGATGCTGTCTTAAAAATAAAGAAAGCCACTGAAGTGATTTTATTCCTTAAATCAGCTTATACATTGTAACAGTATTTTTCTAAATTAATAAAGCATTCTCCATTTTTATTTCTCAAGAGCATTTTCTACCAGGATGAATTCTCTTTCATGTCAAGTCTATGGTGGGAGCTGGAAGGCGGGTATAGTGGCATAGAATTTACCCAAATCCACCGCAAACACCATAAACAAACAAACAAACAAAAAAAACCAAAACAAGCAAGAGAAACAAAGATACAATACAGCCCTGACTCTCAAGCTCCTAGTAGCACCTAGACACCACACGCACATAAACCACACAGATATACATATATGAACAAACCACAAAAGGTAGGCACGAGCGGCACAGACATGAAAATCACAGAAGTACATGCATGCACCAATCATACACATGTGCTTGTGGGTACAAACCACATACATATACACACAGGTGCACATACATGCACAGCTTTTCTTGAAGACAAAAATGCACATTTGATTCCCCGCTAGTGCAAGTCTCTCAACTGTTCGTGCACTGACCTTGGGATGCAGGAAGCTCCAACACTTGAGAGCAGGAATGTGTGTGGTGTGCCCGTGTGTGCTCTGAGAGTGGGCCTGTGGTCTCATGAGCTTCGTAAACCATAGTGAGACCCTGGAGCTGGGAGAACGGCAGTACCTGGCAGGCATGGTGTGGAGCAGATGGCTGACAGCCGCAAGGTGAGAACTGAGAAACACAGGCCAAGGGATAATGCTATGCCTGGATGCAAGGCTTAGAGAAATTCCTGGTCATGAAGAGGTCTGGGAACACACCGTGGAGGGGTGGGAGGGACACTTGGTGTGAGCTGGCACATGCTTCTGTGGTGAGGGGAGCTGAGTGAAACTAACCATGAAGGTCCTAGGATGCAGACGGGAGGGCTCTGTACCCTCTCACCCTCTGTCCTAGAGAGTGCAGGAACAGGGGACCGTGGGGACTGCAGGCCACTCAGTAAGCCCTCAGAGCAGACAGAAAGTCTACACAGCAAGCTTGGCCCAGGAACCCTGCTGTCTAACTTGCCACCACAGGAGCAGACGCTTCAGCTGGGGTGAAATGCACCTGTTATCTCTGTTAATCGGAATGGAGGCCCAGAGATGTATGCCCCGAAGGCGGCTCACTCTCAGAAAGCCTTAGTAGCAAGGGCTGCCTTACAGCTTGGCTGCACAACAGACTTGTCCCTGACCTCATGCTTCACAATGGGCTGGAAACGCTCCAGGGACTCACTTTGCCTCTGTTGACTGGTTTATTAGGAGACACACAGAAATAGCCAGATAGTGGGGTTCTGAGGGCAAGAGGCAGAAGGGTTGACAGCACAGGACCTTGTCACATCGGGAAACATCCTCATTTGTGCTCCTCAGTTTGGAAGTTCTCCAGACCCCAGGGCATAGAGTTTTTCCCCCTCTGCATACAGGACTGGTGACATCCTTACCCTCACTGGTCAACTCCATCTCAGCCCTTCTCTCTTTGCAGGGGGCTGAGGCTGGAAATTCCTTTGGATTGCATGGCCAGACTCTCTGGTCACTAGTCCTATCCTGAAGTGATCTTGAGGCTTCCAGCTTCTCAGACATCTCATGAAAAGATGCCCAATGATCTGAAGATCCAGTCTTCTAGGGTCAGGAAGTGAGAAGAAAGATCTTTCCATCCCTACATGGGTCAGGAACTTTACTCTTGTGTTCCCAGCCCAGGTCTCCCTGCTAAGCTCCAAAGCTGCTAAGACATTCATACACTCCTCAGGAAAATCTGCCTACAGCTGGCCTTTCCTGAGCCCTTACTCCCTGCCTATCCCCCTAGGCTGCTGGAATTTGCTTCTTCAGTCCTGGGACAGCAGTCATTCATGGCAGGTGGTCTGCAACTGAGATCTTGTAGTTACTTTACCTCCATATCTAGTGAAGGTCACGCTCCAGCCCCCAGCTCAGACCCTATCAATCCCTGTATTGTGCATCTGTTTCCTTCTGAGCCAAGGACTGCTCCGCTCACCCTCCCTTTCCGCCTTCTATTTCCCATTCCTCATCTGGGTGGAGGTAGGTTGTGCCTGTGCCCACTCCATGGCCAAGAGATAGCTTGAGGTTCTGAGTTGTTGAGACAATGCAAGCTTGTCACCCTCTACGGTGGTCTGCATGGAGCGACCTCTGGCAGGCCTTTCCCCCCTGGGCCTACTGTGTCCTCATCTGTCCCCACACTCCCACCCTTCCTTGGCGTCCCACCAGCCTCATCCTCTAAAACCTCGTCTTCAAAACCATTCTCTACACTCGCCAAGAGCAACACTCCAAAACCTCCACCCTCCAAAACAGGCAGCTCCTGTCCACAAGCCCAGAACATTTTGTTTCAATATGGCTGCACTATAGTTGGCATTTCCCAGCCTTCTCAGATGTGCTAGAAGTTTCTAGAAGGTACTTCCTACTGGTGGTGTGCATCCACAGCCCATTAGAAGGCCCTGTGCAGAACAGGCAACTAACACAATTACAGCTGTTCAAGGTTGTACATCCTGAGAGCAGTTGGTGACGTGAGGCTCATTCCCCTGCAGGAAGGCCCCTTCCTGGCCGGTCCTGAGAGGCTTACGAGTGCATCACGAGGGGCTTGAGTCCCAAGGCCTGTATGGCTGGCTTCAGGCTGTCACAACCCAGCCAGTCCTGTGACTATGGCCCCGACTCCAGGGAACTGGGGTAAATGTGTAACTGGACTCAACGCCAGCCCATTTTGCATGGCGCTCATCTGTCACCAGGGCTTCCTGGAAGGGGCCCAGAGGAACATCGCCCTGGCCTTGGTCCATCTTGGCTAAGCCTGGATTCCCATGGCCTCCCGACCTGGACCCTCCCCCAGCCTCTCTCTGTACAGAGTAGCCTGGGAATAGATCCACCTCCACCCCTCCAGTATAAATAAGCCTGTGCAGCTCACCAGGGAATAGCCGTGCCTGTCTGGGCTGAAGTTAAAGGTAAATGGAGTCCTCTTGTTTCCTTTCTGGTCCTTCATGGGGTCCTGCCGGGCAGTCGCTGAGCTGTGGGTGGGAAGAGGAGGCAGGACTTGGGTAGAGACACTGAAAAGGGCTGGCTGGCATTCGTTCTGGAGTGAGGAGCCAGAGGTCTGTGGTGGCGGGTGCTTCAGGAGACGTGACCACTGACCGCTTCTCCTCTCCCGAAAGGCTAGATATCCAGGTAGGCTGTCCTCTGCTGCTCACCACTCGGGGCTCACTGGGAATAGCCTGTCTTCAGTCAGGCAGGATAGCGAGGCCTCCTGCCTCCTGTGAGCCCAGCTGGGTCCTCAAAGGCAGAGGGATTTGCACAGGATCAGCACTGGGGTGGCCAAGTCCATGGGACCCAGTCCAGCTTGAGGGGAGAACAAGACTTCATTGTTCAGGCTGCAAGCAGCAAGGAGGGGCAAGTCCCATGGCCCTCTCAAGTGGAGTCGCTATCCAGGCTCACTGCTGGGGTCTGTGTCATCTGGCTCCTCGCTGTGTCCTGTGGAGCCTCAACTTGCCCTCTGTAACAGGCTTCCCCATGGCTCAAAGGTTCTCTGAGGCTGGGTATGTTAGCAGGGCCCAGTAACGTGGAAATATTTTGATAATGTCAGGCTAAGTGAAAAGGTAGCTCCTTTATTTTTAGTGTGTGGTGCATGTATGTGTGTGTGTGTGTGTGTGTGTGTGTGTGTGTGTGTATATTTGTGTGTATATATGTATGTGTGATGTATGTGTATGTATGTGTGGTGTACATGTATTTATGTGGTGTGTGTGTATTTGTGTGTATATATGTGTGTGTGATGTATGTGTATGTATGTGTGGTGTGCATGTATTTATCTGTTGTATGTGTGTGTGTACTATGTAGTGTATGTGTGTTTTGTTTTGTTTTTTGAGACAGGTTCTTACTCTGTAGTTCTGGCTGTCCTGGAACTCAGAGTTCTGTCTGCCTCTGCATCCTGAGTGCATCACCACACCCAGCCCAATGTATGTATTTATGTGCATGTGGCACATGTGTATATGTATGCATGTGGGGTGTATGTATGTATATGTATATGTATATGCAAATGAATGCCTATGTGGTGGGTGGGGGAGGGATGGGTTCAGGAGCCCATGAACACAGATGGAGACCAAAGGAGGACATTGGGTGTCTTGACTGTTACTCTCCTCCTTATTCCCTTGAGACAGGGTCCCTTGCTGAAGCTGGGGATAGGCTGGCAGCCCCAGAGATCACCCTGTCTCCATCCTCCACAGCCCTGGAGTTACAGGTGTATGTGGTCATGATTGCTTTTTTTTTTTTTTTTTTTACAAGGGTTGGGGGGAGGGGACTTGAACTCAGATCTTCATATTTGTGCAACAAAGTGCTCTTACTTGCTGAACACCTCTCTAGCCTTGTCATTTCCTTATTATTATTTTTTTTACAAGACAATGCACATTGTACCTAAATGCCACTTATGGAATCAAGGGTCATGTCTGAGTCCTGTCTGTGACCTGGTACAGGTCACCAGACTTGTCTGTTCCTCTACAAAATGGCATTAGGGACTCTACCTGACAGCTGCTTTTGGAGGATCCCTGTCCCAGGACGACCTTGGGAAGGTGGGCTAACCTGTGGACCAAAGAGCTCTAGCAGCACTCAGGTTCACATGGAAGGCAGATCAGTGGCGTATACAGTGGTGTATATAGTAAATACACAGCTGCAGGATACGGGGTGCTTCTGGTGGCTCTAGGTAAGGAGGAGGTGAGGGAGGAGTCTAGGGGGCCTGGGGCAGGCGTTGAGTGCTGAAGATGAGCTGGTGACATTAAACAGCACTGAAAACACACCCTGTCAATGACAGGACAGGAAGCATAGCCCTGAGAAGCCACAGGACAGGGACACAGAGAGGTGGCTGACTGGGAGGGAATAGAAGGGGGGTCTAGAACTCCTCTGTTCTCAGGACCTGATGCAACCTAACTTAGAATGAACTTGAATGGCAGCAGGTTATAGCTGAGAGCAAACAGCCAGCTTTGCCTGAGAACAGCAGTGACGTGCTTCCTGGGACAGCGGCCATGACACAGCACCCATTCACAGGAGCAGCAATATCACAAGGACTGCATCTACCCGCATGGCCCATCCTACCACATGGGCACCTGAGGCAGGTCCCGACCCTACTGTGCCTTGGTTTATCATAGCCGGGTGGGCACAGTCACGTCTGCATAGGAAGGGCTAGTGGGCACAGGTAGAGTTTTCCACTCTGCTTTTCCAAACCACAAGACTTTCCTCGAGAATGGTGGGTGGAACCAGATGTGTGTGCCAGGAGGAGGAGGGACTGGAGGGTCAGAAGCCAAAGGTCCTCTGACCAGCAGGATGACTCAAACAGAGCACCTTGCCTGTCTGTGGAAGATTATTATGTGCAGCCCAGGCAGGTGCCACGACCCAAGTGTGGGAGGCTAGGGTAACCTCGTAGCTTTGCAACATCATAGTAGAGTTCTGAGAACACTAACTTGAGAAGGGAAAGGTTTGTTTTGGCTCATGGTGCTGGAGTTATAGGCCAGGCTCAGACAACCCATTGCTCTGGACCTGCTGGGGGTGTCAGGTAGCAATGGCAGGAGCCTTTGGCCAAACAAGCTACTCCTCACATAGCTAGGAAGAAAAAGCAAGAAAGAGGGAAAAGCATATACAGAGGTCCTGCAGCTCCTCTTAATGGCACACCCCCGCTGACCTCAGGCCCTCCCGGTAGGCCCTATACCTTAAATGTCTACAGCACCTTCAACAGAATTGTGATGTGCATTAAGATTTTCACATAGGGACCTTAGGGGTGGTTTGTTGAGCATCGTGGAAGATGGAAAGTGGAAGACTGTATGTGTCAAGGCAAAGTGGGAAAATGAAGGCTTCAAGGTGACCTCCAGTTAGGGCTGAGGCACCAAGGCCCAGCAGCGGTGGCCATGGACAAGTGAGGTAAGAGGTGGGAAGTCACGTGGCGGGATGGTTCCGTCTATAGAAACAAGCACATGTGGTTCACATGGTCAGAACTGAACGATGGGTAGAATTCACTCCCAAGGATCAGAGAAGAAAGCTGTAGGTTTACAGAGTCAGCTCAGGAACCTCTGGGAGCCCAGGCTAACTCTAGGTACTGTGTGTGACAGCTGAGGCTGGAGCAGGACCAAAGTTCAAGGGAAAAGGGTTTCCAGCTCACTGGGTGCCCCTACCCCCTGGCCCATGGCTGGGCAGGGCCCCAGGCACTGTCTGTGCCTCACAGCCATCTGGGAAGTTGACAAATCGATGTCTGGCCTACCATAGACCACTGAGGCCAACCCTGGGTGAGCAGGCCAATTCTGGATCTTCTTTGGTCACCGCCGGTCCAGCCTGCCTGGAGCATAGGACCGGTGTGAAAGGCAGACCTGGGCTCGGGCAAGGCTTTGGCACCTAATTCTGGCTACATGCTAGAACCTATGGACACTTAAGCCAATTTTAGGGCACACCCATGTGGGTGTGAGGGCTCCCCAAAGATAGCTGGCGGTCCACATGTAGTTCTCCAGGGATGGACTCATAGTCATTGTCACCTGCATGTCCCTTTTTACCAGGACTGCGCCACAGCCCAGTGTGATAACAAAAGGAACTCCAGAAGCCCAAGGCCAAGTCATGGTCAGAGCTGAGTCCTCCTGAGGCCTCTGTCATTGGCTTGCAGGTTCACGCCTCTCTCTGTGTCTATCATAGTTACCTGTGTTCCTGTATCCTGACGTTCTTGTGCATGTGTGTGTGTATGTGTGTGTGTGTGTGTGTGTGTGTGTGTGTGTGTGTGTGTGTGTGTGTGTGCTAGTGTGCTCACATGTATATAGAGGCTGGACGACAACCTTGGGTGTCATCTCAGAATGGTGTCCACCTCTTTTGAGATACGGTCTCTCATTGGTTTAGAGCTCGCCTATTAGGCTAGACTGATTAGCCAGAGAACCCCAGGGAACACCTACCTCCACCAAACCCCAGGAATCTACCTGTCTCCACTGCCTGAGTGTGAGATTACATGCATAAGTCACCATACCTCGTATTTTTACATGGGTTCTGGGGATCCAACTCAGGTCCTCAAGCTTGCAATAGAAGTACTTTGCCAACTGATCTACACCCCTGTCCCTAGATGCCTTCTTCGTATAGGAACATCAGTCAGTTTACATCAGGGCCTATTGTAAGGACCTCACTTTACCTTGGTCATGTCTTTAAAGGCCCTGTCTCTAAATATAGTCACATTCTGATGAGTGTAGTGGATCAGGCCTATAATCCCAGCTACTAGGGAGGCTGAAGCAGGAGGATCAGAAGTTCAAGGCTGCCCAGAATATTGAGTGATTTCAAAGTTAGCCAGGGCAACTTAAGAAAGGTCAAAAGAGGGCTAGAGATGTAGCTCCTTTGGTAGAATGCTTTTCTAGCATGCATGAGAGCCTGGGGTGGCTCCCTAGCCCTCTTATAAACTAGGAGTGGTGGGGTATGCCTGGAATGCAAGCACTTTGGGGGTGGAGGCAGGAGGATCAGAACTTCAGAGTCATCCTAATCTATATACATAGTGAGTTCAAGACCAGCCGGGACTACATGAAACCCTGGGGATGAAATAAAATGGTACAGCACTTGGCTAACACACAGAGGCCCTGGATCCTATACCAAAACAGTCACTCTCCGGGGCCCTGGAGGCGGGAATGTTAACCTGTAAATCTGGGGAGCAACTCAGCAGGTGACAGTGTGTTTTCTACGTGGATCATCCCGAGTTTTCCGTGGATCTGTGATGACATCCCTTCGTCTCCCTGACCCCAGCTGTGGGTGGGTTCTCCTGGGCCATCTATGATAGCCATGCTTTTGGTTTTGAGGGAGGGAGTTATTAAGTATATAGCAACCGAAAGTAAAAATGAATAGCAAGTGGTGGGTAGAAGCCAGCAGATAGATGGCAAAACATCATGAGGTCATGCTCTCGAAACACCCGGCAGAAGTAAGTGATACAAACACAGCTGGGTCTGAAATGGGGATGAGGAGGCAACTACTCCCAGAGTCAGCAGCCCCGTGAACAGAAACAGCACGTGGCCACTTA